TTATTGAAGGAAACCTGCGGAACGGAGCTGCTGCAGCTTGTAATACGCCACCGCAACTTCGCGACTCCATGACATTCACCAACTCCCATCGGATGCGAGAGAGAGAGAGAGAGAGAGAGAAGCGCGTAAGAGAAGGAAAGTGATGCAAGAGTCGAAGAATGGAAAGCTTGGAATTATATTCCAGCGTGAAATATCAGACAAATATATATATATATATATATATATATATATATATTATAAAATTCCTTGTAAAAAAGAAAGAGTCTTGACGAGTATATAAGGAAGAGAGTATAAGAAATTTTAATTGAATTCGATTCGATTCGCTGTAAAAAAATTATTATAGGCTAACGTAACGAATTGATTTCGATTTCGATGATTTCAAAAGAAAACGGTTCTGTGATCGAGACGAGAATTCGCAGCGAAAGATGAAATGAACGCGTATCGGGTATTATCCGATTTCGAACCGGAAACGGGTGTACGACTGCTGACTTCCGCTCCGGTTTTACGAATCAAAGGACAAAAGAGCCGTTTCACTCGAAACCGGTTTCGAACAGACTCTATTCCCTTATGGCGAAATATTAATTACAAATTACTGAAATATCGCAAACAAAAAAAATACAACATATTCGAAATTAATTTTTTTCTTCGTACTTGGAGGATTTCCTTAAATATTTAACAAAATGAAAAACGTTCGCATATATTTACTTCAGATAATTAAAATGAGTATCAAAAACTCCTGAAAATTCTGGAATCCTGAAAATTCGTAGATCAGAGTGTACGAAAATTATCCATAAAGTATGGATATAACACAGATCACGTATCTCTTCTTTTCATTCTATTCGCTGGCCGTCGTATTATTCGAGAAAGTTTCTTATTCGGCAACGAAAAGCAAACTCTTTAAAACTCTCGCGCTAAATAAAGTCGGGGGACAGTTTAATTTACATACATTTGCTCTTTCCTTTTCCCTTATTCCTTCCCATATAGTTTCAAGAGATACGCTTCTCTAAACCATAATATCTCGCTATGACGACAACCTCTAGCCCTGGGTCCTCTAACAACCCCCTTAGTTACGCTCTCGTCTTCCCTGCACCACCTTCTGCTCTCTCTTTCCCCCTCTTTCTTCGCCTTTTTCGCCTTTCGACCGTTCTCCCTTCGCCCGACACTCTCTGTCTCGCCCCGAAAACTCGCTGACCTAATTTCCACGAAGCTGCATTGCGTGTCCTACCTGTACGGTTGCACCTACCGCATTCGAAATTATACATTCCCCTTATTTCTTCTCCGAGCAACATCAATCCCCTTCACCCTCGTTTCCAATCCCTTCTTCCCATGGTGGAATGGCGGAGAAAAATAAAATAATCCGCCATTTTGCGCTTCGATAAATTTGTTTCCATCGACAAGTAACGAGTTATGAGAAAATAATAATATCTTTGTTGTCCCTGCATCGAAGGGAATGAGAGAAAGACGAAAAATAAAAAATAAGTTGGACGCTGATTTAGACGCGGTTGAATGAGCAAAATGCGAAGAGCTAGATCAGGGGCACGAGGGAAAACAGGGAATTTTGATGGAAAAGTTTTATCGCGAATGGTATTTCATACTCGTTTTGTGCTTCTTTCATCGTGGTTACCGATGTTCGAAAACGTTAAAGTTATTACACAGGAAGGGGAAAAAATTACATTTTGGCCCTGTAAGCAAGCAAATATAAATTTTACAGAACCGTCGATAAAATTGTGCGAGTTGGTCGGTTTCTTATGAAACAAGTTTCCTAACGAATTTTACGATCCAGAAATTTTCGTTCGTCTAAAAAATATCCGACGACGAAGGTATAAATGAATATAATATATTATACGGTGCATTATACATTCTTGGAGTAACTTCGACTAAAGGATAAATAGATTGACTTTAACTTCGACGTTAAATAACACTTGATGAAATTTTAACGTCGAATAGGTACAAGATAATAAATTATACGAAAGCTAGATCGAGGCTCGAGATAAAAGAGGGTAGATTCATTCATCAATGAACTCTAATTACGGCTAAGAAGCACAACGACGATTAAACCTCGTTTCGGGCCATGTTCGTAACAACTTTTAATTGCACTTCTCCAATTCTCTCTGAACGAAAAATGGAGTCTGTTGGTAGAATAAGGACGCGAAGAGAAGACCGCCAAGACGAAAAGAAGGCAAAAAGAAATGAAAGGTGGGAGGGTGGTAGGAAAGTTAGGCTCGGCGTAATCGATAATTCGATTTTCGATCCAGAAACCAGGGGTTTGCGCATTCTTCGATAAAAGCGTATACGAGTAGAGGTCAAAGTGTCATGAAAGGTTAACTATAGTTGAACGAGTTCACCTTAGAGTTAGACTCCAATTTTAGCCTGTATATCGACCCCTGTAGTTTAATGATCTTACTAACTCGGTCGGGCTTTTCCATTATTACTTTTTTTTTTCGAGTTGGAATAAAAATACCGACAAATCCTCCCATCGATTTAATAGACTCTCCGTATCAAATATTTATTTGCGAATATAATAGATAGCCGGAAGACGAATTATCGTCATTGACGATAAACCACGTGTACTTAGAACGAAATACTGTTGTTGACAATCATTTTCTATACGAAGGGAAAGCAATTGAAGAAAACAACGAGATAAAATAATATTTAAAATAAACGGAAAAAAGAATATTTTATTCGACATGAGCGTAAATTGTTTGTTCGTCACGAGCGATATCTATAAATGATTCGTGATCTATAAATGATCGTTATTAATTATTCTATATATGATTTTGTTACATCATGATATCATGATGATCTTTCGTTCAAAATTTCTAGTATTGATGGATAAAGTGTTCAATTCATACCTCCAAGGATAAGCGTATGTAAATGGAAATCGCGTCTGAACATGGAATACAGAGATCCACTAACGGACAAGTGGTCGAGTGTCATAGCAGCATTTGCAGTCACAACTGCATTCAGAAACGATGACATCGGGTGACGATGCAATTTGTGTTGGACGTCAACTGTTCTTCGGAAGGAAAGATAAATATTGCTAAAATATCCGGAATTATTGACCGTAATGTACGGATAATAATGTAACGTAAATGAAAACTTAATTGCGAATATTAGAGATACGATTCTGGATCGTGTCGATGTTCCTAGAATTAATAGTAAATTTATACAATTTTAATATTATCTTTTCTACTTTCCAATAGTTTTGTTACGAGATATATATGTCCAATATTACGTTTAGTTAATGAAAAAAAATTCCTCCTTTTATTTTATATAATTAAATAACATTTATCCTGAAAAATTTGAACAACGATTATAATTTTAAAAATCAAAATATATCGATAATAATATGCATGGCATAATTAAAGTTTAATTTTGAAAATTTTGATTAATCTCTAATATTATTCATTTGCCGGCAATCGAAACAAAAGTTTTAATTTCAAATAATATAAATTAATTTTCCATCTACTTACGTGGATTTAAAATCGAAATGATATCGTAATCAATCGTAACAATTTTATTTTTTATGTAACAAAGTATCGAATATTCCACCATATTGTATACTTATATTAACATTTTCTTTGTTCGTATAAAACATTTTAATTCGCATTATCAAGCATAGCTGGTCCATCTAAACCTAAATCCAGTTACCGTTCAATTTCCACAATAGCCTTGAGATTCTGGTTAACTTTATCAGAGTTCAACAACTCGAAACAACTTCCTACAACACGGTTGATCAATGCAACGAATTGAGATGTGTTCGCTCCGATATAGAAAACGACCACCGGATTTATAATGAGGAAACTTCGATAACAAACTTCGATGGAGATTTACAACTTCTCAATAACGTTATACAAAAACCGAAACCACTCAATAAGGCAATCTCAGAACGGATTATAAAAGTAAACTTGTTGTTTACTCGATTTCATCTACTAAGCATATACATAGTTTACATCTAAACTGTATTACTATACAGACAGAAATTCCATTTTATAAAGAAGCATTCCGTTTTAAATCAACGTGGCGTGTAGAATGTAATAATCGAGTTGTATCAATGATTTCATACGCGTTATTTTCATTAAATTTATACTAGATTTTCTCCATATTTCTTCTTATCTATCTTTTTATTATAACGTGTCGCCTCACGATAAAAATGGTAATATAAAGAGATTCTCGTTCAATGAATGCAAAAGCATTCAAGGTGGTAGAATATCATAAAGCTTCTTATGCTTCTTTGGAGTATTGCAAAACTCATTCGAATTTATGAAACGCATTCACAGAGTACATATATCTATGAAAAACAGAAAATATAAAAAATTCGACGAATTGTATGTATAAATTTATCCTATTTATAAATAAATAGAATAATAAATTATTTCTATTCAATATTAAAATTGTAATATAAAATTTAATAATTTAATTTTAATAAGTATTTAGGTTAAAATTTATCATTAAAATTTGTATCTATAATCGTGATTTAAGGTATGATCTTTATTTTTTTAAAAAAAATAATAAATATATATTGACTATAATATATACGCATACACACGTATATTATACATGTGTTTGTAATGCAATCCACGTAATAAATAATGCAAGATATGTATATCTTTTATGTACATAAAATATAAAAAAACATTTTCAAAACATATAATTCAAAGTCATTAAACTATTGATGAAAGTTAATAATAATATTATATATTTTATACGTATATAAAATATTATATCTTTTTTAAGAAATTATTTGATTAGACATTTATGACATGTATATTTGCAATTCATTTTAATAGAATTGAATATTTTTATAATTTTTAAAAGATAAATAACGAATCACCAGTTATTAATAATATAATTCACAATAGATTAACATTCATTCAAATTTGCATTAATGATATAAATTTTCAATAATTACACACTTTATATAAAACACAGTAAATAAATTCTACTCATATTTTTTTTGAAATAGTAGAATTATTGACCACGAGAGGGCTAGTATAATCGACTCTATGTGAACGGAAGTTACAGTGCTGCCATTGCAAAGTCTTTTGAGGTTGTTTTCGTGGCATGCATGCTCTTCTAACGGTAAGAATTCGATATCTTTTAGAGATTTTATGATCTAAAATCTTCTTGTAACATATAAATTGTCTGTAAATTAAATTAATATCGTTTATCGATGAAATATTATATAATCGAACAATTAAACAAAAGGGTTCCAAAAACAACTGCAATACGATACGTTGCTAGAACACACGTTTATAAACGAAATGTCTGTTGTGAAATTTTCTAGTCACTTCTACATATTTTATTAAACTTAACACTAAAAAATCATAGATACTTAAGAAATTGGGAATATAAAAAATTAATTGTCATCTTAACGATCTTGCCTAGTAAATAATGTGTAATTTTGTATTTCTTTACTTCGCATTATGATTTTTTATTAAGTGTACGATCTTTCTTTTAAATAGGTATACCACGATGCAGATATTTGTGAAAACTTTGACGGGTAAAACTATCACTCTTGAAGTAGAAGCATCAGATACTATAGAAAATGTGAAAGCTAAAATTCAGGATAAAGAAGGAATACCACCTGATCAGCAACGTCTTATTTTTGCTGGAAAGCAATTAGAAGATGGACGTACTTTATCGGACTATAATATTCAAAAAGGTATTGTACGATTTTAAAATTAAGAAAAAATTAATTTTTTCTTTCATTTCATAATCCAGAATAATAATTATCTTGTGTTTTTAAACAGAATCCACCTTACATCTTGTTCTTCGACTTCGCGGTGGTGTAATTGAACCTACTTTACGTATTCTTGCACAGAAATATAATTGTGATAAAATGATTTGTAGAAAGTGTTATGCACGCCTTCATCCACGTGCAACGAATTGTCGTAAAAAGAAATGTGGGCATACAAACAATATTCGACCAAAGAAGAAACTGAAGTAAACTATATACTTCTACTTAATTTCTACTTACTCATTTTTACAAATGTATCTCTTCTCTAAAAGATGGTTTTAATAAAACGTACATAAGAATGTGATTAAATTTTTTTATTGCCTTATTATATATTAATTTATATGAATATATTTATAAAAATAAAACAAATTTAATTACACGTACTTAATTTGGATATATTAGTTTTAATAATTGCTGTTGTTTTGTATAATTTTCGTACAAATTAATATCATTGGAATTTGGTAAAGAACCGCCTACCTAAATAATATATATCATTTTAATGTTGTATAATTGCTTTGCATACTAGTAATAACTTATTATGCTTACCTTAGCTCTTTTAACATATTGTTCGTATATATTTATATTAGATTTCTTTACCGTCGGTAATTGGATTACAATAATTTTTGCTTCAGGAAATGATACCTGTTGAGTTAATTTTAATCGTACTTTCATGTAATCTGAGGGATATGTTGCATTACGCCCAATCAATGCAAATCTATTAAAAATACATTAAAATAATATTCTATGATGTTTATAAAAGTAAATTATTATTACCTTTTATACAATATCACATCATTTCTTTTAGGATATTCAGGTTGAGTACCATACACTTCTTTCATAGATGGAAATAATGATTCAAAAGATGTAAATTCCGAATTTTCTTTCGAAATAATGAACTGAGAATCATTATTATGTTGATGATTTTCATCCTCGTCCGAACTTGAATCATCGCTAGAACTATAGAATATCGTGCATAGAATTAACATTTAAAAAAATTATTTGATTTTTATATTTCTTTTTACCTTGCACTTGATGTCGTACTACTGGTACTACTTTGCCCAGTCATTGAAGGATTTTTCATATTTAAATTTTTATTACCAGTTTCTTCTCTTCTTCTACCTGGTCGTATTCGTACTACAAATGGACTAAAACTAGTTGTAAAGTGCGGCATAAAATCTCTAACGGAATGACTAATTTTATATGCGTAAATTTCGGAAAGTAAAGATAATTCATATGGCCTGCAAAAATTAATTCAAAAGTTTTACATGAATTATAATGTTATATTCACAAGATTCATAAGATTTTAATACCTATGGTAATCATAATAAACATCGATCATTTCCTCCATTGAATTTTGAACTTGTATTATTTCTGAACATGTTTTCGTTATTTCATTTAACGCGTATGGAAGACATTTTAACACAGTATTATCCCACCATTGAGTTAAAAGCTTTGTTCTACGAGAATAATGACAAGCTGGTTTATGATGAAGATAATAATCTGTTAAAAGTTCCCAAATTGGAGGTTTTCCTTCTTCGGGTATAAATAAACCTATAAGCAATATTTGTATCAAAATATATATATATCTACATAAATCAATATATCTATATCAATATCTATATATAAATTTTATTTAGTATTTTTATCTTTTTGATTCTATTTGATTATATATATATATATTATATTTACCTAAAAATAAATTAATTGTATGTTGTTTTTCCTGATCACTGAACGTATTGCTATAATATCTACTGAGAGTTTGCATAATATCATTACCCTGGCTAGTCCATGGTGCAGTTTTTCTAAATCATACCATTAATATATATTTTTATTATATGATTAAAAATATATATATATAATACAATCTTACCTATAAGTTTTTATCCTATGCACTAATTGAGAACCACCATATTGTAATGCTAATGTATCACCATGATCTTCATATAATTCCTCTAACATTCTCACGCAATCAGAGTCGAATTCTAATTTAGGAGATTCCAATACACCTAAGGCGCACAATTGGAATCCTAAAGCACATTTTCCTATTGCAAATTGAGCTGTATTTGTACGATCTAAACAATCAACGCAATTTGTTCTAATAATACCAGTTTGTAATGTACCCCTTTTATCAAAGTATTGTCTTACTCTATTTTCTATATAATTTAATCCATTATATTTATTCTCTTTGATGAACTTAGAATTAATATCACAAGCATGAGACAAATCATTATTATTCTCAGTTAAAATATTTGTATAATTTTGAACATCATGCATATTGAATGAGAAAATCATGTTTGAATTAATTTTATAATATTTTTTATTATAATTAGATTGAGGGGAAAATAAATTTCTCTGACTATAATATGGACTTTGCGATTGAAAAATACCAGTTTTCAAAACTGCATTATGCGCTATATTTGCCAATCGCGCCATAACATTAAACTTTTTTCTAAAAGGTTTATATTATTATAATTTATATTTTCACATTGATATTTTTATCTATTAAAGTATAAAATAACATAACTATACCTTTTGTTCATTCGAGCCATATCAAAACTTATATATTGAATATGATGTTCTGGAGGTAAAAATTGATTTAAATATTTAACAGCCATACATAATTCTTCACTTAATGTACTTTCATGTTTCTTTTTTTCACGTTTCTTAACAAGATTAAGAATTATAATGGGAGAACCATACCTTCTTAGAAGTTGATTAAAATGTGCACCTGAATTTTTTTTTAATGATAAAATTTAATTTTTATTGGAGAAAAATATAACTTAAATAATAATTTATTATTTTTCATACCTGCTGTTTCTACATAAGGATCGGCTAAATCACAAGTAATGGTAGGTTTTGGAACCATTTTACTAACATCCTGGCTCCAATGTCCAGGAACTGATCCACGCATTTGAACAAAAGAACTAAAACGACCTTTACTTAATGAACTTACTCCAGAATCATGAACAATTTGCTCTGTTTCTACTTCATTTGCAACATCTCCCTTCATTAATAAAATTATTTTTCAATAATAATAATTGGAATATATATACATACATACATACATACATATATATATATATATAAAATTTAATTATATATACATCAAAATTTGCTCCACGTTTCAAGAATCTGGTACCTGCATACTTATTACTTCTTCTGGCAATAATAGTTACATACATAGATCTTCCAAAAATACTAACATTTGATTGACCAATAAAACCATGTGTAACATATAAAATCCAGTCACGATGCAAATCTTTTTCTACTGGTTTTAATAAATGTGAATTCCATACAAATCGACGATGTGGATTACTTCGTATCCCATAATCAACATACTTTTCTGTACTGTTAAAAAAAAAAAAATATATATATATATATAGATAATCAATATTATTAAATAATTAATTTTTACAAATTATTAATTAATTATTAATTAATTAACAAACCTATTATTCCAATTTTTTTTAAATGCCCATATATTAAAAAAATCTTCTGCATCTTCAGCATCACTATTGTCTGTGTGATTTAAATCTTTGGCATTTGTATAAAAAATATCAGGTTTAATATGTTTTGGTGGGGTCATATTATTTTGTAAAGTATGAGTTAAGTCATAAGAATAACTAAAATAAAAATTGCTACTGAGGTCTATGCTTTGAAACATCTTTACATATCTTTGTTCATCAGGATGAAAAACACGAATAGTATCATTTGGAATATAGATCATTGAAGTATCCTCTATTTTATATATTGTATGATGACCAATTACAGCCACTTTACGTCGCTTAGTAACCAAAATTATATAATATCCTTCCAAGAAACGTACAAAACCTAAAAAATTAATTTCTTAATATTAATTATTTTATTAAAATATACATAAATTTTTTAATTTTATGTATCATAACATTGAAAGTGTTATATATATATAACATGCATAATTTTCTAATATTAAATAAAATGACATGCAAATTTAATTTTATATTATACTATGCTAAAAACATGTACATGCTATAATATATTTTATATATAATATATTTATATTGATGTAACATTAATATCACAATATTCATATATATCGATAAAAATTTATTTTAATACAAAAGTTTTTAAATATTAAATTCTCAATTTTATAATTTATTATAAAGAAAAATATCACAGATAATGATTATTATCACATTTATAATATATTTCTATTTTCTTATTATATTCCATGTAATATAAATTTAATTGTATAACATTTAAATTTAAATAATTTAAATAATCGTTTAATAAATAATCATTAAATACTTTGTTAAAAATTATTTTGTTTCGAATGACATTTGATTGAATATTAAAGTCAATGGTCCTTACCAAGAAGACCAAAAGCTGGTATTAGACGAGGAAAAATGTCTCTCTGCCACATTGTTTTCCAGGTGAATTTAGTTTGAGTTGGTTTATGCAATGGTTTCTGACATTCTTGGTGTTCAGATTCTTTTGATACACCATTGTCAGTCGTAGATTCTTTGTGAATGCTGCCTTTGTTAGCAAGCAAATATATATAGAAACTAAGTCTTATATAATGTTTCAGCAATAGTTTTATTCCAGTATTACTACATATATATATATATTATTTTGTATGTCCAATATTAGAATACAATCAACATGCATATCCAAAAAAATAAATCATGCAATATAAAAAAACTTAAATTATATTAGCATTGCAATATAATTGTATACTAATAAGAAATACAAAGTATCAATATATGTGTAAAAATTATTATTTTTTTTATATTTTATTTTATAATTATATGATATTCATAATTATTATAAAATATAAAAATTTTTAATATTGTGAAAGCAAATATGTGCATTGAAATTTTATATGAAAAAGAAATAACTAAACAAAATACTACTTACCAACAATTCCAAAAGCTGAAACAATTCTGGCAACTCCACCAACATTATTTCTTTGTCCAGCACGTGTACGGTTACCCATATCTATCATATTTACAAGATCCTTTATTTCATCTTGAGTATATTCTCTTTTATCATCTACAACAACTAATTCTTTAGATTCCATACGATCTATTTTCAATACTCGAAATCGTGTTAAAGTATTATTTGATCCCATCAAATAAAATCTCTGAAATATTCATAAATATTATATATTTATTTTTAAAAATATTTAAAATACTTATTTATAAAATATTTATAAAACAATCTTACAGATTTTGTTTCATAAAGAGCAATCTTTTGTATAGAAGAAATAATAGGATGAAATACTACAATTGGAATATTTTCATCCATTTTGAATAAATACTGATTTATAAATATTAAACTTTTTTTTCAATATTAATAATTTTTTTAAAATTCTTTCCGTATCAATGACATTTCATATAATCACGAGATCAATCATAGACAACATGCAGGCAAAATTTGTCACATAATTACGCGTCAAAAGTAAGACAAGGAGAGTAAATAGTGAAAGAAAAATAAAAATTTGAGAAATCAACGCCATCTCTAGGATACCGCAAAAACTAAGTTAAGATTAGAAAGATGGATAAAGAAAATTATAAGAGAAATTATAAGAGAAGAATAAAGAAAAAAAAAAGAATTAATGTCAAAATACTTTTTGAGTATTCTATTTTATTCTATTTATTTAAAGAAATATTTTTAACATTCAAAAATGACAATTCTTGTCTTATAATTTCTATTTCTATCCTTCTCTCTATTTTCTATGAGTTTTATTCCTTTTTACGACTTTTATTTACGATACTTTGGAAAAAATCCTGATTTCAATAATTTTATTCTATCTTCGTCCTTCTCTTATTATTTTCTTTTTTATCTATATTTATTCTGCAAAATTTATATCTTCAAAAGACCGTTTTCAATATCCGATTAATTTTATTCTCTTTTTTTGTTTAAATGACTAAATCGATATTTAATAATCGATTAATAATAATAATAATAAATTAAAATATCGATATTTTCTTTATATTACAATATTGGTATTTATAATTATATATTAAAAATATATAGAAATAAATATCTCTTTAATAGTATTAAAATTTCTTTAGTATTCTTTAGTATTTCTATAGTATTTAAATTTATTTTTATGTAATAATTAAAAAAATCTTATAAATTGAAATTATTTTCTTTATGTTGCAATAAAAAATTTTTAATTCAATACAAGTATACTATTTATAGCAATCTACGAGTATAATTTAATATATATAATTAAATGTTATCTATTGATTATCTAAATGATCTATTTTATATATCATCTGTAATAATAGTTAATAATAATATATATTTACAATTATATAAAACATAATAAAGTTTTAAAATTGTTTTATATAAATAATAATTTAAATTATTAATTACATATAATTTAGAAAGAAAATTTAAAGATAGGATATAATTAATAAATACATTTAATTATTTATTTATAATATGACTTCAGGATATAATTACCATAATTACCATAAAACAATAATGTATTTTTTACAATATATATATATATTATTCCTATACATTTCTATATTAAACATAGAAACATTTTATCGAAATTTCAATCGAAGTTCATTTAAATAATATAGATTAACAACAAAACCAATTAAGGTTGTTGCAATAGTTAGACGATAAATTATTAGATCTGATGTGCCTCGTAAAAGAAATGTTGGTTTTGATAAATCAGCCTATAATTAAATATATAATTTATTATTTATTATATTTATTTTATCAATATAATTTTGTTAAAAAAATATATATTATACATACCTGCCATTCTTGTTGTAATTTTTTCATTTTTTCAGGTATTGTAGAATGATTTCTAGAGATAGAATTAGATGTAGATGCTATCTTAGTTTTAATAGAATCAAACATCATTTTTGGTGCTTCTATTTTTTCTAATGGTTTTGGAGACTGTAAATATTAATTATTAAATATATTTTATATAATATTATACAATAATATTATTACATATTACACTACAAATACAATAAACAAATTTGCAAAGTATTTGCAAATTTACTATATATACTTAAAATTTTTCATATAATAATAATATTTTTAAACTTTTGTTATATATGTTATGTAAAAGTATAGTTTCATTATTTAACATTTAAAATTCCTTTAAAATATATGATAAAAAAAAAATAATATGTTCTCTATTAAATCTTATTAATTAATAATTAAAACGAAGTATTCGATTTTCAATTCTATTAAAGATTTTGTTTAATTTTTATTATTAATTACTCACTAAAGGATAAAGAGCTTGTAATTGGGTGGATTGTTTTAAACGGCCAGTAAAAGCACTAAATTGATGGAACGACATTTTCTTCTTTTATATAACTTACCTGTTCTTACAATGGCGCTTATCCGTACCCGTAGTGATTTTTGTATTTACTTTCTGAAAATAAAGAAAAGTATGTACTATATAAAATCTTAATGTAGGTTGGTAAAATGCAGGTTGGCCATTTCACTAAATTATTTTTCAAAGATTATTTTCAACTTATTCAAATATTTTATATAAAATATTAATAATATGTGATTGTATATAATTTATGTACACAATTTAGTAATACAGCTTATAATTAAATTATAAAATATAAATTATTTAATATGATATTATTAACAATAATTTTTCTTATTACATTTTTATCATATCAATTTTAATTTATATTAAATTTATTATACTTTATATATAAATGAAATATTCTTTTTATTTCATTTTACATCATATACTAAAACTATATATATCTAGTGATTTATATATAAGAAATGATTCATGGTTAGAATATTTATATAGATAACGTTTATTTAAAAAAATATATATATGTTTTTGAAATTATTTTATTTTGAAATATTGTTGCAAATAATTTTCAAAATTATTTTATAATTTACAATATAAAATGTAATGAATTACTAATGTAATGAATGTATATATATATATATATATATATATGAGTTTAATGTATATTATTTATGATTTACTTTTATTTTACAAAATAATATAATATAATAATAGTTAATACATATATATATATATATATATATATATATATATATATATAATACAATACAATATATATATATATTATTATACATACATGAGTTGACATATATCATAAAATGTTTTGGTTAAAGTTCAGCCAACATTTTTTATAGTGAAAATAAATATAATAAATAAAATATAATTTCATTGATGAAAACATGACTAATTTGTTAAGTCATAGAATTAAGAATATAATCCTAACTGATAAAAATAATAAAAGAGATTATCATTTCAAAATTATTAATAATAAAAGTAATAAAAATATATTATAATCAATCTCTTTATTCTTGTCATTCAGACAAATTTAACCTACTTATGTGAAGACATGTAATTATATTTTAAATATAAATTATATTTATTAACAAAAGTTTTTGAATATAATTTTTTAATGTGATTTTATAAAGATTTAAGAATTTATAATTGTTTATAATTCAATTTGATGAAAAAAAAAATATAATTTTTTCAATGGTTATAATTATAATATTCTACGAAAATGATATAATGATATAAAATATATATCAAGAATCAAAATATTAGTTTTAATAAACAAAAAATGTTTAATAATCTTATTTATTATTAAATGTGGACATCATTTTCTAATATATATGTATTACTTTATTAATTTTGCCGTACTAACAATTCTGTTTTACCGACGAACTGCAAACAGCAAAACATATCATGGCTGAATATGGTGGTTTTGTGATGAACAATATCTTGAGTTGTGTTAATAAATTTTATGCTATAAAAAATAATTAATAGTGAAATTTGTGACACAATTGTGAATAAATTTTGTACAGTGCTCTTTATATCTATAGTATTTCATAGCATTCATTATATGTTATAAAAAAGTATATGATAATTGGAACAGAAGACATTATTACTCTCTATCTCTATTAGTAGAAATTATAATATCTTACCATCTTTATAACATATTGTAATAAGTAATTGTGTAATTACAATAGCTCATATCAAAGTCATATTTCTATTTATGAATTTTCAAGTATCAATTTGATGCTTATGGATTTTATGTGTAAGATACTCTGAATTCTGTGATACGTAATAAGTAAAGTCTGATGCCAAAGCTACGAAAGAATAGGAGAATTGAAACTAGATGGGGTGTCAAATATTATACAGCAGTGAAAAATGCTGTTTTTATAACACATAAACAGCCTTATGTGCCAACAGTACCACCCCCCTCTTTGAAGGAACATGTTCCAGAATGTGAGACACTATATATGTGTACACAGTGCAAAGACTGGTGAGTTTATTGATACATTTATTGATACATTTTTTATTATTTAATAATATATTTTTTCTTTTATAAATACAATTATATAAAATTGATGTATACGAAGCAATAAATTATAATTAATTTAATTTAATTCATAATAAGATTAATTATTAATAAGAAATAAAAATTTAACATAGAAATTTCGTTTTCTATTAGCTTTCATTTTCGAAGCAGTTTGGAAGATCATATTGCAAGGAAAAGTTGGATATTGGGATATTGGTGTCAACATTGTTTTGTGACCGATTGTAAACATAGTTCTATAGAAGGTACATTATGTTCGACATGTGTGCAATCAGATCGTGAGAAACGTTTATATTTAAGAAGTAGAGGCTTACGTAAAAGTCAAAAATTTGGGGTAATAAGAGTCTTTTACAATCAATGTCAATTTTTTGCACATTTGAAAACCCATAATGTAAATTTGGTATACATGGGTGATTTAATGTTAATGCCTATACCAACAAATATAAATGATTGGAATCCTGAAATAGATGTAACTTGCGAAGCACTCATGGAGCATACATTTATAATAAAAGTTCATATAATGGATTGGTTAAAAGATAAAACCATTACTAACAATTGGTGGCAATTAGGAGGAGATAGCAATAATCCAATTACTCTTATTCTTAAAGGTTATAAAGGTCGGTTTCACTTTAAGCCATTAGAAATACCAATAGATGAGCAGTTTTCTATATTGAATTCTGTTCATTCTACATCTAAAAATAGTAACATGTATTCCGATATTGAAATACTTGATTCTGTTGAAAATGTTGATAAAAGGGCGAGCCCATCTTCTACAGATACCATAGTCTCCATCTCCGATGAAAGTGTGATCGAAAATGAAGACAGTCCTTGCACGATAAACGATATTACTTTTGTTGATTGTGGGCCTACATCAAAGTGTTTTGAACCTGAAATTCCATTAAATACTAAGAAAAAAAGAAATATAACAGTTTCCGTAAAATCAATGCAAGATTCCGCTACTCTTCAATCATCAAATATGGTTACTAATAAATTTAAAAGGAATAAAATAACACAATTAAATTGTATTTCACCCAATATGGTTATGTCATATGGCAATACTATGATAACACCTAAACGCGATGTTAAAGATTTATCAAAATATCCTACTAATAAACAATCTTCATCGAAGAATCTAACGCATAAATCTAATAATAGTACACCGATTAAAATAATCACAGAAAGCAATATCGTAGAAATAGACTCCGACAAAAAGATGAATAAAACACTTCTCAATAATTTATTAATAGTAGAACCATTATCTAAACTGCAATCTGAGCCATCTCGTGCAACAAAAACGGATACATGCAAAAATAAGTTAGATAAATTTAAACAAAATGTACATTCGTTCAATTCTGGTCAAAAAGTTGTCACGTTTCAAAGCAAAAAGCACGTTGATATCAATACAATTATTAATCAATTACCGTCTCACATAATCAACAACAAAAAGATTGTTTTTATAGGACAAACTTCTGATAATGCAACTATTCATAATAATAAAGAGTCACACTCTAAAACAGTAGTTCACTTAGTACCTGATGACAATGAGAAATTGTTAGAAATGAAAAAAAATCTAGAAAATGAGAAACTTTTGCAAATTAACAAAGATTACAATAAAAATATTTCTAAATCGAAAAATCAAAGTGAGGCCAATAAAAGCAAAGGACGAGCTTTATCGAACAAAATTGTATATCAAAATGGGCGGAAATATATTATTAAACAATCATCAGGTTCCGCTAAAAATTTAAAAAATACCAAGGGAGTAGCGGCGATAAAAGATGTAGGAGGAACGATGCAATCAAAATCTACAAATGGTATTCCACCATTGATACCCTTAAATTCCACTGAAATAGAAAATATATCAAATCAGGAAAAAATAAATTCATTTAATAGTGATATTTCCCCTTTAACACCTTCACCATCTCCGTCGGAATTATCAAGTAGTTCGAGTTGCGATGTTAATTCCAAACAATCCTCTTCGTCGGTGAAATGTTCTCAAAAGGCCGATGTATCTTTCTTAAATATTGAACATAAAGATATTGGCATTGATGTACAAAATACGAACAATTCGTTTGAAAGTTTATCATTCCATAAAGGGGAGGATCAAAACTTGTATCTCGATGTAAAATTTCTTAACCAGAAGCCAATTTATACTATTGTTGACACATCTACGATGATAACGAAATGTAAAGAAGAAATGTTAAATGAATTTTTTCATCTTCCTTATTTCGAACTAAAGAAACGTTATGATCATTTACAAGAAATCGGGGAAGAAATATCGAGAGTGATGAATTTCGTAACCGATAATGTGATCAAAGAAAATTTGAAAGCCGTTCACATCTTGCAAACCGTGTTGAAACATTGCATTGATAAGTGCACCGAAACGAGCGATGAAACGGAGGAAAAAGATATACCATTGAACGAATGGGAATCGGAGTATCGACAAACGAACGAAAAACCTATTTGCAAAGCGTGTAATAAAATTACAAAACCCAAGTATTATGTTCCAGGATTCTCGAAACCTGCGGAAAACGATATTTATTGTTCTTGTTACAGGCACGTGTGTCACAAATGTCAAACATACCAAGGTAATTCAACGCGTTTCGTAGCTCATCAAACATTTCACGATAAAGAAAAACCGTATTTATGCCCCGATTGTTATCGTAAATTTACGACATTTAAATCGTTAGAGGTTCATACGTGGACCACTTGTTTTCATACGCTGAAAAAACGTGTCCTCGGTTGCAAGGTTTGCGAAATAGATGGTTTTCAAGATATGGAATCTGTCGCTAAACATTTTGCTATTATGCACAGTCACAATAAAATAGTTTGCGATAAATGTTACATCGTTTTGCCCTCGTACTCCGAATACATGAAACATCATAAAGATAAACATTTGGATGGGGATGATTATCATCCTATAAGGCTGGTATTGTGCAAAATTGGACGATGCATCGTACGTTGCGAAGATTACATGTTGCACATGGAGAAGCATCTAGTCGTGCAAAGATTAATATGGTTTAAATGTCCATTCTGTATGTTTATTCACGTAGAACCGAAACGAATTATGTCCCATTTGCAAAGTGGGCACGTAACGCGTTTAAAGGAACTTATAAGTCACGAGGTGTTGTTGAACGTTTTGCAAGTAGAAAACGCGGCAAATTTGTTGAAGAGTAATTTGCAACAGAATAAATTCACGAACGCAAACGCGGAATCTTGCGAGGACGGGACTGTTATGCCTAAGATTATAAATGCTAGAACTATCACGTCCGAGGTATTTGAAAATGGAACGACTCAAGGAACGAACGATCAAATGATAAATGACGACATTGCCCCCCAATGTTCCAAAATTGTTAATTCAGAATTTTCTGTTTCAAAATTGAGCAAAACTATACCGAAGATACTCGATGTCAGGTCGATGGCCGACTCGGTATCGGATAGTTCGAAACACGAGGAAGCCGAGATAATTGGGACAAAATTTACAAAAATGAAGGAGGGAAACGAAGAAATGGAGCAAAACAAAATAATCAAAAGGATCGAAAATTCGAGGACGGAAATTACATTGGAAGAAAATGCAACAACTACGATAAAAATAGAATCGAAAGAAAATAGTAGCGATTACATACAGCGGGATGATAAATCGATTTCAGATATATTGGACGTTGACTCGTTTCAACGAGATATTGTTCCGAAAATGATCAAAATGCAGAGTACAAATGACAATTTGAAAAAAGAAATATCACGCGAAAAGGATAAAATGAAATCAATGGAAGTAGAGACGAGAGAGAGCGAAAGCCAAGTTCAAAAACAATGCGACGAATCAATCTTGAAACCTCCTCCGCTTGCTAGAATTCCTTCACACGTATTCGAATCGAATCGATCGAAGAAGATCGGACAGTCGACCAAAGGAGGAAAAGCGACCGTGTTTTTACGCAATCCGAAAATTCCTCGACGAATTGCTCTAAACTGTCCAACCAATTTGAACGAGATATTCAATTTTTCGTGCCATTTATGCGGAGAATTAATAAATACATCGAAATCTATCATAAGTAATCACTTTCAGACCAAACATTCGCAAGAATGTAAATTATCGACGATCACTACAAATTTGTTACGTATATCGCCAGAATTCATTAACGGAGGTTACAAGGAATTGTTGGATAACAAGAAACGCAAATCGGACAATTCTATATCGAATGCGAAAAGAAGACGACGATGGAATCCAAAAAAATATACCGACGGGAAACACGCAAATTTTACGGGACTTGGACTGTGCGTGAAACAAGTAACGGCCGAGGATAGCGAGGGTAATTTTAGATGTAAAAAATGTGATCAACGTTGCTCGAATATGGCAAATTTGAGAGAGCATATCGCTTCTAATCACAGAATAAAAGGCCGATATTTGGTTTGTTTGGAATGTGGGGATAATTTTGTGGTTGCGCCTAGTCTGCAAATGCATCTGAAAGCGTTCCATGGGATAGAGGATCCTATCACGTACATGGCGCAAAATACGTTATACGCCCCTGATAACGTCGACGATCTTGAAACTGGTGGGAAGTCCATCGAAGCGAATCAATGCCACGTTTGTATGGCAGTTTTCGAGGATAAGGCAGCTGTGGATAAACATCTTCGAGTGCATGGAATGGCATTTTTAAATCGTAAAAGGATAGAAGCGCAAAATGCTTTGAAAAGTCCGGAGAAAAAAGGTGAACTGGAGGAAGAAAAATATACGCCGATTAAACCAAGTCCAAAAGAACTCGTTCGGAAGGATAAACCAGCGGAAACTATATTAGAAAAAATTACTGTAAGTCGATTAGAACGTAAGATTATATATTTATTTCGATCATTCATAAACCATCGATCTTAATCGTTTTTCATTTCAGGCAACAATATAGCTAATGGAGGCACGATTTTCAAAAACGGTGTCGATCGAAAAGTAATACACGTATTTAATAATTTCTAGTTTTAATGAATATGATCGTGAATCTGTGATTTTAATGTTTTGTTTAAGCAATGAAAAAAAAAAAAACGTTTCCTCTTTTTATAGTAAAAAATAACAAAAAAGTATAATGTTGTTAGTCATTATAGTATAGTGTCAAAACAAAAAAAAAAAAAAAATGTAACTTTGATTAATGCTCAGCTCTGCATATATACCTATTAACACATTGCGTTCCAAAATTCTTTTTTATTATTAGATTTATCGCATTATAGCTCTATTATTTTAATAATAATAAATAATAATAATAATAGTTATATTACATGCTTATAAACCAAACGCAATGTGTTAATTTGCTTAGATAACATGGAATAGAACATCTTTGTAAATATATACAAACAATTGTAGACAAATGTATAATTTATTTTGTTAGAATTTCTTTGTTAACGCGTATTCAAATAATTGAGTTATTCTATTATATGTACATCGTTAAAATTTGTTTTTTCTTAACTTTACGCAAATCTTGCAGCCTAACTATTCTTCAAAGTTTCATATTCCATCATAAATAATTGTATATCTATTACATCCTTCGTATGTATGAAATCCTGTACTTGCAATATGATGTAAATAATTGCCTTGTTTTGAAAAAAATATAACTTTTTGTACTCTACTAATTCATATGCATCGTTATATCTAAAAATAGATAAAAATAAAATATTCTGATTTACTTTCAAAAAACTTCTACTTATCCTTGATATATAGAATATGGAAATGATGTATTTTACACAGTAAGATAGATTATTAATTGCACCGACAAACATTATTGCTTAGCGATAAAATTGTAGTAATTCAATGATTGACACATCGAGATACTCGAGGTACGTGGAGAATATTTCCACTTGTTATTCCCATTTATCTATATATATATATATATATATATTTCTACATGTATTCTTTTTATATATATATATATATATATATATATACACGTACTAATGTTAAAATATCAGTACGTCAGGTTCGAAGATTTATAGAGGAAACCAATATGTTTATTCTTACGATTTTTCATTTTACGAGAAGATATTTCTTTTTCATTATTACATCGAGTGCAGGTACTTGAGGAAAGGTATGGGATACTGAACACTTTAACGTTGGACCTGTAAGAGTACTCTCAGCGTTCCTTCAACGACTTTACGCCATTAAGTCGTTTATTATCACGAAAAAATAGAGAGAGTAATATAAAAAAAAAAAAAAAAAAAAAAAAAAAAAANNAAAAAAAAAAAAAAAAAAAAAAAAAAAATACAATTCGAATCATTATATACGTATAGATTTAAACATATCGGCAAATAACTTTCAAAACTTTCGAGCATGAATTAGAAATCATTCGTCTAAGAACGAATAAGAAATGACTATTATTATTATTTTGGTCCCTTCATAATGTGATAATCCATAATGCCGATATCAACCGTATATACCTTTACGGGCCCCGTAAATAGTCTTTTATATCTTTGGCACGATTACTAAGGAACACACATACGATAAATTTAAACGATGATTCTCAACTCTCACGCTAAATTTTCGCACGATCAATTTGAGCTTGATCTTTCGTGTATACGATTATTGAGGATTGTCATGTACACAGATGATTACATTTTTTTTTTTTTTCTTTTTTTACATCCCTTTATCCGTTTATCTTTTAAACAATATAATCTCAAGAACGGGAAGGAGGAAAGGAGAAACGAGAGACAAAAAAAAAAAAAATATTAAGAAATTCACGCGTATGTTTCGCGCTCTTTCAACTTTTTCATCGAGAGATTCTCTTCTTTCTCTTGATTAAGAACATACGTAATTACGCCAAGAGTTAAATAGAATGGAAGAGAAAAAAAAAAAAAAAAAGAAAAGAAAAGAAAAGAAAATATCCACGGAGCAGCAAGTTATTTTTTCCTTATTACTTTAATCTACGCGGCAGTTGATTTTCGTACGATTTCGCGTCTGTGTGATTATCCATCTCCTCGGGAGGATTGAGATTGATCACGCGAACTATGGGGCTCGAGGGTCGAGAACGATCCGATTTCTCGATCTCGAAGTTTATTAACCGAGGACTGGATTCTGGATTTCTGGAGGAGGACGCGTCGTTCGTCAACGTCCTGGCGTGGGACGTGGAGGACGAAGAGGACGAGGAGGAGGAGGAAACGGAACGAGCAGTTTTCGCGTCCGAGTCGATAGGGGACGTGACGTTGCCGCGCACGTGACCCTCTTGGAACAATTTCTTCGGATTGTTCGCAAGGCTCGCGTCATCCGGATTTACATTCGATTCCGCCGTAAAGGCTAATGATTCCCCAAGTTTTTTGCCCCGAACAGTGTTCCCCAATTCGCTTAATGGAATCCCGAATTCACGAGTGGCCCACACGTCGCAGCTAGGGCTGCACGACGAGCCACGGGGGAGTTGACAGACGGTTTTGCTTTTTCTCGCGTCTTCCATGGAATGCCATCGATGAGATTTCGAGATGGACGATCCCGATGCAATGGTATTTAAACTGTTTGTCGGCACTATCCGATGAGGAAATCGGGGGGATCCTCGAATTTTTTCCCGCGACGACGTTTGGCTGGTACTCGCTTCTAAAAACAATCAACTTTCTAGCAATTCTCGTGGTAGATAATATCGTAGATAATATCGTAGATAATCGTGAAACGTAATTTTCGAGGGGAAAGGACAGTTTTTTTTTACTTACTGGGCGGTAAACTGAAATTCACTCTCGGCTCGCTGTACTCTTTACGACGTAACCCCAGGCTTAATCTGCGATCTTCTTCGCTAGTAATACTAATTATTGGTCCTGAGCCACATCGAGGATGAGGGGAACGAGCGCCTTGGGCGTTAACCTGACAGGTAGATGCGGCTTTCGTGCCTGGCACCAGGCCGGCGATGTAGCCCATATGAACCCGTAACGCCGACGCCACTCCTACGGGATTCCAATCCTTACGCGTATATCTTCTTTCCCCCTCCCCCCCCTCCTCTTTCTTACACGTACCTGTGTACGTACCTGTGNAGATGCGGCTTTCGTGCCTGGCACCAGGCCGGCGATGTAGCCCATATGAACCCGTAACGCCGACGCCACTCCTACGGGATTCCAATCCTTACGCGTATATCTTCTTTCCCCCTCCCCCCCTCCTCTTTCTTACACGTACCTATGTACGTACCTGTGAACGAAGCGACCGAGGTTTTCCTGCTGCTGGGACGACTGCCGAAAAGGCTGAAGAATCGTTGAAAAACGCCCAACCGATTTGCCCCTTCCGTCTCTCTTCGTTGATGAAGCTTGTAAATGTCCGCGAGACTTCGCCTCCCCGTGTCCGGCTCCAAATCCGGTTGACTGCTAAACGCTACAGTACCGCGTCGTATCCCTGATTTAAACGAGCAAATCGAATTATTATAGCGAATAGTGAAAGCGTTACACTTTTTCTCTTCAACCACGGATGCTAGAATATTTGTTAGGTTAGGAAGCGCAAAAGCGAAAGCAGTGTGCCGAGATATCGCAAGAGGAGGAGGAAATAGAAGAAGAATCGCGAAACAAATTCTTCTACGCGTATTTTTACACCCGAGAAATAATAATAAATAAAATAAAACAATAAATTGTCCTTTTTCACGGATCTACACCGATGTGTATATGCACATGTATATATGTATGCGCGCGCATATATGCGGAGAAGCAAACGGTTTGCCGAAACAAATGTTCGGAAAGAGCAGAGAAATGGGAAATTTCATGCTTGAAATTTTTGCGCATCTGTTCGACATCCTTCGATTCGTCGCGACGTTAGTGAATTCGAAACGTGCGATTTAACGTGCAGAGAATAGAGAGGATGTACTGTACATATATCCCTGCCAGGGATTTGTCCGAACTTGTCAAGGGGTTTGGGATTCGGAGCTCGGGGAAATACGAGTGCAGCCTAATATCTCGAATTGCGATTAATATATTACAACTGTACGAACTACATTCTCAAGCTGTTGCAAACTATATATATATATATTATATATAAATACAGGGCAGAGTGACGAAACTTATAACCGCCTCGTTGCAACCATCAACGTTCGTGATTTCACGATTCGAGCGAGTGGACATTTCCCATTGAAAATGTTACTTGGCAATCTCTCATGCAATTTTATTCGAGAATTCGTATTCGATTAAACGATTTTTTCTTTTTTCTTTTCGAGTCGAGTTTCTTTCGAAAAATTCGTTTCGACAAGTTTTATTTAATTTCCTTATTCTAATTCCCTGGGCTCAAGCAAAAGGTAAACGGTGGCAGGATCGTTCAAACAATTATTGCGTGCAATAAACGGAATTCTGTCACCTTTCTCCTACACCTGAATGATGAAAAAATGATACGATAATTATGTATCGATCCTTCTTTCTCTCCTCGATGAAATAACTTTTTCATTCATCGTGCAAATGAATGGTTGGAGAAAGATAAGCGAATTGGTCGGGGATTATTTATTCGCACGATGAATGTTGGATCACGCGGCAAAGAATCTCGCTCACCGGATGAATCGGCGGACGGCCAGCTAGCCCTAGGGATGACCGGTGGGAGGACGCTGAGCAGCAACAAAGGCAGACCACCCCCGATGCTCGGATTGCGTTGCGGAATCGACGCGCTCGACGAAGCGTGCGATGGTTCGACCGGTTCGACCTGTGCCAATTGTTTCTCCAATCTGGCCAATTCCAGCTCCAGCTGCGCCATTTCACGACGATACACGCGATTCTGCACTTCCACGCGATACTGAAGCTCGCTGTTGTCGCCCCGATCCGACAATATTCATTTCATCGTTAAATTCCATTATTATTTTCAATAACAGATCTATTTTCCAATTATTCCCAAATGTCACGAGACCAATCATTTCTCGCGAGATTAGATTAATTAATTAACAGGGAAATTATTTCCCCCTCTTCGTAAATGGAGAAACTTACGTTCTGTCGTCGGTCACGAATCTCCTCGTGTTGCATTCGATCTTCAAGCCGAGACTTTGCACGACGGGGTCGGCCCTCTCGCCGGCCAAAATGTTCGTAAGCTGGGGAAGGAACAGCAACGCCAGCGTCGCGGTCGTCGAGGCTAAGATCAGAGCGGTGATCGTAACGAAAGCCAAAGTTACACGGTCGGACATCAAATTCGCCAAAACCACCACGATTCCTGAAGTGATCACCACGAAATAAACGCTCATGCCGATGTATTGGGAGTCGTTCAAAGCCGGTATTTTCACGTGTCTGTAATTGCAAATGTAGAGAAGGATAAGATTAGCCTTAATTTTCTCCACCGAATTAAACGAAAGAAAAAAATCGATATTTTCCATTTATAACGTCCTTCCACCTTGTCCAGATATATCAACATATCTGATATATCAACAGTTGAATGATACAATATACGGTAAAAAGAGGAAATATCTTTGTTAACGAACGCCTTAATGGCATCCCTCATTAAACTCCAATTGTACTTGGACTCTCCAATTTCAAGTTTGCACATTTCCCGGAGCGTTTGTTTCGACCAAATTTTCCTCCCAACGCGCGAAAATCGCATTAAAAAATTATTCGAGCATTTATTCTTCGGGATAAGCGGATATTTTTACCTCGTTTCCCAAGCCATGTACAGGCCGACGACGAGCAACAGACCTTTGTAAATGTAAAGCGCCCCCAACCAGCTGTTGGTGTGTTGAGAACGACACACCTCTACCTGCGTCGAGAAGAAACGAGTTAAATCTGATTTGGCTTCGAATATATATATATATATATAAAGGTTGTTTTCGCATTCTTTCGATACCTGAGATTGGTAGACCACTCCTCTATCTTGCGGGTTCATCTCCAGAGTTAAGTTTCGAAGATGACGTTGCATCGGGTCGAAAGTCACCCACAGGGTCACCACGAGGCCGTCTATCAGTAGAAGGACGCAGATCAAGCTTATCAGCTGGGTATCCTGAAGTAGCTGCAAGTAGCAACATTATATTGGCGTTATTTCTCTATATGTGTATGTGTATATATGCAGAATTTATTATCATATTATTACCTTGTTTTTGACAACACCGCTTCTACTTCTCGTGAAAATTCGGTGAACGCGATAGGTTTTGGTGAACATCGATCCGAAAGCCAAGGAAAAGCCCGCAGACAATAGATACACTCTCGCCTGGAAAACGAATGGGAGGCGTTACATTACGTAAAAGTATTTAAGTCGTTAAGAAATTTAAAGATAAGATTCCGCCCGAGAAGCGAACCAACTAACCGAAGAGCGATGGTAAAGTAGAAAAAAAATAATGCTCACGGTGCATACTGTAGGATAGTAATCGTTGCTATCGGGAAGGGTGGCGTGATCCAAGCCCAAAAGTATGACTGCACCGTAGACCAAACCGCAACCAACGGCAGCCATGTTGTTAAGCCTAGGGCTCGAAAGCTTTATACTCCTGTCGATCATGTTCGAAATGGAATTCTACGTGTGCGCGAGAAACGACAATACGACGAACGTTACAACTTACTTGTGCTTACGGAAATGCAAATTGAACGCCAAGAAGGCGAACGCTAATGCGACGCCGACGCTTGCGAGGCAAGTAACCGCTAGGAAAGCCGCAGGCGCTACGGTCACCACCCTTAACCTGCCCATAAGGAGAAAAGTACTCTTGCAAAATTTCTTCTTGACAACCGATAATAACTCGTGAGAAGTTAGTTACAGCGGATGGCGTGTAATCAATTTCTTTAGCTTTTATATAATCCTTGATATTTTCACGTCTTTTCACGTCCGCGCTCCGACGAGCTACGATAATTAAATTTTATCGAATACGAGTATAATCTTTAATCCCTTACGCCGAATCGCTTACCCGTAAAAATTCTATCCAAAAAAGAATTTTCATTCAATGCGAATTATTCCTCGCATCGAATTCCTCCCGTTATTTTTCAGATCCGTCTAAATCTGTCGCATCAACTCATGCAATAAAATCGAATTCTTAGCGCGTAGTATCGATTATTATATATGATTAGATTAAGAAGGATTCGCGCGTATTCTCTTATCTCGTCTCATTCACTCGTCGATAAAAATTTGAAATACGTCCAACGATTTATTTATTATTAACCGTGCAATTAAATATATAAGATACGATTTGATTGGTGTAAATAATGCACGCGTAAATGTGACGTACAATTAACGATCCGTTCCATATTTGAATCGTACGTTCAATTGCAATGGGAAGGACGGAATCGATATAATTGCTCGAATATCGTAATAATTAGATTTCAATTTTTTTTACAGATGCGTCAATTATCGCGCGGGAATGGGGAAATAGAAGGATACAAACCGGAAAACTCTTCGAGCTGCTGGGGGATGCCCATCCGGCCATCTCATCGTTGCGCATTCCGAGCAATTCATCACCAGTTTTCCATCCTCTGGACTGAAAATCGCTATTTTTCTCTTAACGCGCCCTGCAAGAAGAAAACTGTCGAGAGTTCCTTCCATTTTGGATCCTTCCCGAGTACTCGACGTGGGATCGAATAATCGGTCGAGTTGTGCAATCAAACAACAGAGACGCGATATCATTTCTTTTCGCTCCTCCCATTTAATTTGAACGAATAATTTCGCGAAGATAAATTAAAACGTTGGAGATTTTAATCTTGGGAGAAATGCCCGTTTTAATTATTTTGATTTTTGACTATATGGAATATTTTTTCTTTAAATTATTTATAAATTAAGGTCCTTTCGTACAATTAATTTAATTTATATTATAGATAGAAACCAATCTGACTTACGTCGATTTGAGCTCAAATCATGTAAGATTTTAAGAGTCGAACAGACTCAAAATTTTAACTTCTGCGTTTAACTTTAATCTTAATTCAACATCGAGGTCGCAATCATCTTTATCTATACGATCTATCAAAAGATATTACGCTGTTATCCCTAAGGTAATTTATTCTTATAATTATAATTTATAAATCAAAATATATCTTTAAATTAAAATTAATTATTAAAATAAAGTTTATTAAATTTATTAATCCTCCCAATCAAATTTAAATTACTATTTATAAATTAATACTTATATAAATAATAAATTAAATAAAATTCTATAGGGTCTTATCGATTTGACTATATCTCAAAAAAAATTGATCCCTCTCGCAAATTTATTTCGTGTTACGGTATACAAGGGCGAAAAGAAGCGTTGAATTGTCGAAAAAGCGTTTAATTTCTACCCTCTATTTCTCTCTCTCAACCGTTCGAAATCCTTTTACCTATAAAATATCCTCTTTACTCGTGCTCCACTACTTGTACGACGCGGCCGATAAAGTTGAATACGTATATCGAACTTGCGAAGGGGTTTAGAATCCTTCGCTTCGAATAAGTCACGTTACGAATTGAAAATTAGAATTTACGATATTTCTTTTCGTCGAAAAATTGATTCGATTTCGAGTTTGGAAAATTTTGAATTAAACTTTCCGTTAATTTTTTCCGAAATGGAATTAGATGGACATTTGTTAAATCGTACAATATATTCAGTTTTGGAAGGTTTTTATCGAGCTATCTTCTTCTTGATTTACACACGAGTATTGGAATTTTTTCTCATCAGCTTAATGACAGCACACGGATAATAATACTCATTTTGTTCCATTTTCGTCCTTTTTATATATGCGGTTATTTTTTCAATATTATAAAGAAGATCGATCGATCGATCGATCGATCATTTTTTAAGATTTGCATTCACGAAAATTATGCTGATATTATTTGTCTTTCGAAGCATTTCTAAGCCTCTCGACGCATTTTTCATTTTAAATATTGAATATTGAAATACTTTTTATATTTATATTCGTATTTAAATATTGAAATTTTTTTTGGGGGGCGAATTAAATTACTTTTCTTCTCAAATTACAAACGAACTCATAACCGAGTTTTCCAATTTTTTTCCGAATTTTTTGTGAGGTCGTAAAATCTTGATCGCCCACCCAAACTTTTATTCGAATGTTTTACAAATGTATTACAAAATTTTACGAAATCGTGCACGCGTTTTCGTGTGTTATTATTTTTGTCCTTGTTATCAAACGAACGATTTTTTATTCTTTTCATCAGTTTTTCCATCTTTAATCGTTAATCGATCATTTTGAAGCAAAACAAAAATATACAATGATTTATCGCGCGTTACATTTATACTATGGAATTTAATACAGATATTTATAGCTTTGTCCTCTTTCATAAATGCTACTATTTCAATTCTCCTCCAACGTGAAACGTTCGCGATTCATATTTTCCAGTTGCGCGCCTTTCTCAGCTTTTTACGACTAGCCATGTTTGTTCTTCTTTATCATTTGTTCATAGCGAGCCTTTTCTCTTTTCACGAGAATAGCAGAGTAGACCAAGCGAAACGATATAATAGGGAAAAAATTCAACTAATGGATCATCTATTTAACGAATTATTTCGTACTCATCTCAAGTTGATCGAATTAAAGAGAAACAGAATTTTCAATTGAGAACGTTCAATTGTCCGTCAATGTGACGATTTTCTTTTGTTCGAAGACAAGAAAGAACGCGTAAAAGAAAGAAGATAAGAACGAATCTTTCCTTCCTTTTTTTTTTTTTTTTCCTTTTTTTCCTCTTTGCCGCTGCGTGATTATACTTGAAAATTATGTAAATGCGAGAGTGTACGCTGCAAGATTTGATGGATTACTGCCGTAGGATCTCGACTGTCGGCCGGTTAGATGGATGAAAGTGAAAAGTGGTAAGCTGGGATGAAAAAGATGTACAGAATAACGGTAAGAGGAAGCGGAGGTAAAGGAGGAAACGGTCGATGGTTGGTCCAATTTGTCCGAATCACCGAGCCTTCTTTGTGAACATGGTGCGAGCCTATCGTTGGCGGAAATTCGTGCCAGTTCGTTGACTTTATCAGAAATCGATAGTTGAGAAACGCGGTTCAGAAAAAGAAGCCGCTTGTTCGAAGCTCGGGCAAGGTTAACGAGCTAAACAATCCACCGTTAAATCGTGAATGATCAATGAATACAAATCGCGCAAAAAAACGTTTGGAATTTTGCTCGATTTCCTCCCTTCTTTCGCAATACAAGAATTTTCTTCAGAAAGAAAATTAATTAAAAATGAATTTATTAATAAAATGAATAAATAGAAAATAATTAGATATATAAAATAAATTATAAATCAATTTATAGGTATTATTTGGTGGAATTAAATTTCATTAGAAGTAATTTTAAATATTATATTTGATTTAAAAGATCAACTCTTAAATTTCAGACATCTAATGAAATTTTAAAAAATAATTTAAAAAATTTATTTTAGTTTGACAAACTAATGTTATATAAGAAATTAACTAATTTTTTACATTTGTTTATTTACTCAATTTAAAAAAAAAATTAAATGAAGTTGATTCAATTATAAATCTACGATTCATTCCACGAATTTCTGAACGTGAAATTTTTTCGATTTTGTATGATTATTATTATTATTATTATTATTATTATTATTATTATAAAAATGATTTATGTATCGAAGAGCAAACAAATTCTTAAGGATAGAGAAAATTTGCAAAATGGAAAGAGAGAATAATTAACGAATCTTGGCTCTGAAATTCCGGAAGAAAGGGAAAATTTCGCAGGAAATTGATGATTCGTGAGATTCGTGGGAAGATAATGCGCGAAAGCCGCGGGGCAACGCAATAACGTTGAATAAAAAAAATAGTCGTCCATTAGAAATGAAATTAAAAGGGATGAAGTAATTTGGATGGAAGAAGGCGAGCGTCGTTGGTACGAGGAGCGCATCGAGGTCACGCGGCTCGAAAGAAGGCTTAATTTCACAAAGACCTGCACGTCCGTTCGCGTGGAGGATGGCGTTTCGAGGCCACTCGAACGTCGCGCCTGCGTCGGAACAATTTATCCCGAGAGATTGTTGGTCGGAACGGCGTCCAGGGCAGAGCCAACTTCCGACAATTTACACGCCTGACATTTGTCCAGATAAAATTCCCTATATATATATAAAAAGTTCAACACGATATATTCATTGGCCGTGTTCGACGTTGCGGGGCTACCCTCTCGCCCGGAATCACGATTAATACCAGCCTCCGAGCAATACATATTCCGGCTCCTCTTCTTCTCTATCCTTGCTTTTTCTCCTTTCTCAGCCACGCTCCCTTTCGCTGCCGATTCCTCGGGGTCCTCTCTCATTAATTATTCATCGGCTTCTTACCGACATACGGCAGGAACATCTTTCCCCGTGTTCGCACGAACCTCACGCCGATCTCGTTTCGTGCTTCGGATCGCGGATCCGTGCCACCCGGCTCCGCTTTTCCCCTCGTAACCCGCGCGAAAATCCATCCTTTCGTTACATCCCGCGCTCCTCTAATTTTTCAAATTTTCCTCCTTTCCTAATTTTTTACACTAATTTTTACACTAATTTTTTTACACCCCCGATCGATCATCGATTTAATATCGATCCTCGATTCATCGTCGTTTTTAACGCTCACAGCGCCCTATTAACAAGCGTAACAAAATTTACTCACCGTACATCTGATAGAATGCCGTGATACCTATTCGATCGGCACCGTCGAACGACACTGGTCCCTGGAACCAATACGATACGATATCGTACGAGATTCGATTCGACGCAAAAGAGATACCTCCCCACCCCCGTTAATTACTCGAAACTCGGTTATTGAATCGAAGGAATAGATTTTCTAACGAGCGTTCTCTTCTAGTACATAGAACGTTTTCCCTATACGATAAAGAGATGGATAAAGAGAGATATCTTTACTCGGAAAGTAAGTACGAAACTGGATCGGGAGATGTTTCATACTTACCGAAACTCCGATAAAGCGCAAAAGTTTCAACTGTTCCAATAGTTGTAACGCGATGTCCTTTCTAGTGTGCGTGTATTGGGTTAAACTGATGTTATCTCTGTTCAAGATGGTCTCGGTCTTTTCCAACGCGAACGCCATAGCCCAGACTGCGTCATAAGTCTGGCCTGCAAACTTGGAATACGCCACCCCTCTGCTCGCCAATTCCGACAAGAAATTGTTGTTCGTCTGCGGCAGAAAATATTATTGAATATTATTGAATCTAAAGCTCTTTAAAAAAAAAAAAAAGAAAGAAAAGAGACATCTTTGTCTCCTTTCACACTTTCGGTGCCTCTTGTAACATTGATGAAACATTTAAAACAGCGCAAATATTCGATACAGAATTATTGAATTATTCGCGATGACGAACGATCGAGGCGAGAGAACGTAGAGAAGCACGGTTCGAAGAGACGAGCTCGAATTTCGTCGGAACCGGGGTTCTTCCCTCGTCAAATGTAATTAGCGACATGCGAGTTGCTCGTCAGCTCGATTGCTCGAACGTGGAAAACTCGATACCGGCAAGATTCCGCCCACGTCGCCTTCCTTTTCCATCCGACACACCTTTTCCAACGGACGCGAAAAAACAAGACTAATTTCTTTAACGTTAATGTTTTTTTAAAAAGAAAACACGATGATAACGTCCGTTAATCGGTATAATAATAAATTGATTAACGAATACTTTGCCTCGATGAGGATAACAATGCTGCGGATGAGAAATTATGAATGGTGAAACGGGGAATTTCGTTATCGCGAAAAGTCTATTTTAATTTCCCCAAAGTTCCATTTCTCTTCATTTTACGGGCGAAACTTTTATCTAAAAAGAGCGGGCAACTGGAAAAGTGCTCACCAGACCCGACGAAGTGATTTCGTTTTCTAAGGCGGAGTCGTGACTGTTGACGATAATCAAACCGTTCAAAGTTTGGTTGAGCTGCGAAGGCGTACATTCCTCCGAGTACGACGAGTTGTCCGGCGTTTTCGTCACTTGGTCGATCGTGTCACTTGGCAGGATCCACGCGTAGTCTCCTCCGTGCATACCTAGCTTCCAAGTCTGGTAAAATACAAAAAAAAATCACTAGATACGAATTAATCGAAAACGTTTCTCTCGCTTCTTGTTCGAGAAGTCAGATAAGACGAACTTTACACAACTGACTTGCTATCGAAAACTTTTTACGTTCTTCGATATATAAATCGAGTAATATGTTTTATTAGAAACGAATGGCTGACAGTTACAGTTACAGTTTTACGAAAATTCTTCTCGAAATATAATTAGTCGTGGTGCCAACGTCTGTATATCCGTTCGTCGAATAGAAGAAAGTTAATCGGGTTACTATAAAAAAAAATTCCTAAGAATGCAATTCTAGATATGTATTTCTGGTATGCTTCGCGACGGTGATCGTGACCAAGGAATATCAGAAATATTTACGATCATCCGATCGAGCTAGTGGACGAGGATTTCTTTCAGACCGAGATATCTTTGTAACGTATATCGTTTCTTTTCTTTTCTTTTCTTTTCTCTTTATCCTTGCTTTCGTTTACTTGTCTTCGTATTCATTTTGTTGTATAACGTGCAATTGTATATTTGGCTACGCGTATAAATAATATATTTCGACTACTGATAAAACTAATATATTTCGGCAATATAATTCAATCAAAGAGAAGAAAGAAATGACAAACGCGTCATTATGGTATTTTATCACGTCTCTTTGATGTATCGTAGTTTTTACACGTTATAAGTAACAAATTTTAATATCATTTATTTATATATCGAAATAAAAAGAATATTCGAAAATTGATCAAAGTCTGTTTAAAATAATTGGATGATAAATTTGGTTGAGAAACGTTACGAAACAAAGGATGCATTCGCTATTTATAAACGATATCGTTCCAAGCTACGTGTAGGCGTTATCTCTATTTTCGGTTGATTTATAGTAAAAACGTATCCTTGTTTCGTGCGAGTATGCGCGAAGAAAGGAAAGAAGCTCGCCTCTGAATATCGACGCGAGAGTATTAAATATTGAAAGAGCGACAATCGTCTAAATAAAGAAATTATACGATACGATCGATTTCAAAAGTCTACGCTACATCTATTTACGTCCGTTAATTTCTATTTGACGATGATTAGTCAGAGGAATATTTTCTTGAAATAAAAACTGTATTCGTAAAATTAAACATCGTTGTTCAATTCCACAGATAAATTCACTTTACTTAAGCAATAAATTTTTATATCACACGATTTTATATCTTGGAGATACGCGAAAACAAGATAAAGAATAAAGGGTAAAAGGAGAGAGAACAAACCAGAAAAAGCAACACGTTTTTATCGTACACGTGTTGTATACTTTTTCCAAATTTAGAATGATCCGAAACGTTAGAATTTTTATAACACGCGAGATCACGTAGGAGAAAAGTAGATAGGAGATTCGACGAAAGATATCGAGATACGAATTTTCGTGAAATTTAGGTGACGCGACGCTTCGAACGATAGCGAATTTCGTTTCGAATTCCAGCGATAGATAGATAGATAGATAGATACAGTAATCACGCGAACGCCAATTGGTATACGCTATACCAAAGCAATTTCATGTGTTGGCGCGTCGTTGCAAAACTCGTTCCACTTGTGTACCGTGTAAACGACACGAATGAAAATTTACAAACACGTAATGTTCGTGTTATTCGCTTTCGCACCGAAGACAATAAGATATCCAACTAACTTGTTCATTTATAGCGCGACTGTGCGATTTCTTTTAAAACGGGTCGAATTATCGGTTGAGGTTAGAATTTGAATATCGTGAGGTTGAATCAATAGGAATGGTTCGTATCACGGAATTATCACGAATCATTTGAATTCACGCACATCGATCGGATAATTAAACATTTTTCAAATAAATAAGTCGACGAAATGGCTTCTCGAAACGATTGGTTCTCGAAACACAAAGCCATCGAGATGATAATAGCGGCGAAGAATATATCTGTCCGTGTACGCGTGACGCGAGCGAGGGATAGGACGAGAGAGAGAGAGCAATTGTGTCCTACTTCGACACAATGTTCATTATTCGCTTAGCGAGGACACGGACCGTGACCATGTGTTTGCATTTCATCGATTTTCGCCGGAAAATCTAGGCGTAAAGTTTTCCACGATGAACAAATTTCAATCAATCTATCTATCTATCTATCGATTAGGACCGAATCGAGTTTCTAAAGCTGTGAACGTTAAAAAAGTCGAAAATAATATCTTTCTCGCGCAATTTGCAACGTTGCAACGTTAAAGGTTAGATTCTTCGATAGAGCGATTCTCATGGAAATTCTCATGGAATTCATTGCGATTTCAAAGTGTGTAAAAATTTTGTAATTGAACTGAACGCTACGAACGCTCATAAAAATGGCTGTGAATTTTTTAAGGAATTTGGTACACCGTTTTATTAGAGAAGCTAAAAAGAAGCTAAAAAGAAAGAGCCGGGGAACTGCGTTAAAAATATTTTCTCCGTTCGCAATGATATTCTTCCTCAAGTATTACGCGCAAATGGTAATGATTTTCAATGAAACGATTACGTTACGCTATAACACTTTTATCTTTGAATCCGATTTCTGTTAACGTTTAAGACGATAAAGTACACGGTTCTATTATTTTTAGTAACATCTATTACAAGATTAAGATCTTAAAAGCGAATTCCAAATAAAATTTGCATAAAGCTATCACGCGTAACGCGAATGCGGTGTACGTAGTCACCGCACTTTGTTTTATGAAAACAACGATAAAAGTGGCTCTTGTGCGGTCATTCTTTCGTGCTGAAAAATTATACAATTGCAAAAAAAATATGCGTACGCGTGTTTTTTTTTTTTCCCTCGGAATGGGAAAAGTTTATCCGCACACTTTCGTTGGATATTTACCTCGCACAGAACACGTGACGCCAATTGCGGTGAAAAACTTCCTATGATGATTCTCGTGTCCAATTTCTGCAATTCGAATTAAAATTACATCTCAATCATTCCTTCTTATTTTCCGCTCGATACAAGCTTCGGCTTCGTCGTCTTTCATGCGACTCGACCGCGTCGAAAGTGGACAGGCAAAAATTAATTACGAACCGTTCCAACGAGTTCTAACGAATTGGAATAAATATTTTCTTTCTTTTTTTTTTTTTTTTTTTGCCAGATCTATCTCGTATTCGCGCATAAGTCACAAAGACGGTTTACGTTGAAATTGAAACACGCTCGAGATCCATATTTGTTTCGCGTAAGGAAAGGAGAGCGCGAGCAAGGTGAATAAACGCGGAGGGATTTCCGACGAAAAAGGAGGTTGAAATCACGACTAGACTACGTATCACGATGCCGCAAATCTAAAAAAAAAAAAAAAAAAAAAANNNNAAAAAAAAAAAAAAAAAAAAAAAAAATAAAGCAAGGCGGTGGGAAAAATTCAATAAGTTCAAGTCCAAGCGTGTTTTTTTTACTTTCAAAGTTTGCAACTGTTCCTTGTAATCGTTCTCCGCGAACGTGATGGTAGCTGCGCACGTGATATTCGCTTGTTCCAGCTCCGTGACCAGATCGTTCACAGCCTGAAAACGAAAAACGGGGAACTGCAACATCCTGATCGTCGTCCTCCTCGGGTTGAAAATAATAATGGATATCGAAATTCCATCGGGTGAAAAATTATTTTCACCATACACGGATATTTTCTCAATTTTAATTTCGCAATTTTCCCTCCATGTCTGTCTGATCATTTCGAAATATAAAGGACAGGACAAAGGATTAAATGGCTCGTGTACGCACTTACCAGGGAGTACATGTCGTCGGTTTGAGAGAGGGCGGTGACGGTGTCCCATCCAAAATGTTTGATGAGCGCTATCCTAGCGGGATTGTGGCTGGAATCCGGCGCCACGGTGCGCAAGAAAAGCGGAAATTCGGTGGAATCCGAGAGAGCAGGTGCGGTGGATCCAAAGGAGACTTGTATCACGTTCCAGTAGCGCACGATTTTGGCTAAGGTTTCCGTGACCTCGGAGCAGGCGGTGCCCAGCAACAACGGTATCAGATCGTTTTTCTTCGCCGAGTAGAGAGCGTGAAAGAATCTGTCAACCGCCACTCCGGGATCGCACTGTGAAGAAAATTTCGGCCAAATATATTTGGAAACAAATTCTCGGATCTCTTTGATAAATCGACGCGCTCGTCCTTTCGGAAAATAAATACGCGATTTACGAAGAATGCGGAAGAATTTTTACGTTGCGGAAGGAAATACGTATGGCTCGCGTATGGAAAGTAAGCAATTACAAGGCGTGACGTAACGAGAGGATCGCCAACACTTTTCGACATCCGGATCGATGTACACGTACGTGTGTGCCCGAGGTAAGAGAAGACGAGCCTTAACGAGCAATTATTCAACGCGAGAGGCCGACTCGAAAGCTCGTGTACGAACTTGAAGAGTCTGCCCGTCTCCACCGAGCATACCACGCCACCAAGTAACATATATATATATATAAACTTTCGACAAACCTCGTCGAGTGTCTCGTTACACTTTCGTTTTCCTTCACGCGCAAATTGAAATTTCGTTCTCGTTTCATTAATTTCGTCTCGATAATTCTTCCGCGAAAAGTTGCCTTGCCGCAACAACCGCGAACGCGATTACTCGCACACGACCACCATTTTATTTGTTCTACGCGATACACGTACGTATCACGTCTGTTTAAACAAGAAACGCTATCTCAACTTTATTAATTTTCCTATCGTATTTGTCATTCGCAAATCTCTTGCGTTTAAACGTTGAGAATACGCGTGCCGAGAAGGGTAAAGAAAGGAAGAGAAAAAAATAGGGATTCAAGGGTTAAATAAAATCGTTAAAAATAAGAGAAAAGCGTTTGAAAAATATGGAGATTGAAATTACAGATTCCCCGCCACTACGTTTCAAGATCCAACTTTCCCTTCAGGAATTCGCAAAGGAGTTCAAATATCGCGGTATAGACGACAAGCTTGCGTGCCTTTAGCTCGATCCGGGGGAGAACGCCGTGAAAGTTTTGCAGCTGAAGGTCGAGCGATGGAACGATGCGTTTAATAGGAGTAAATTAAATGGTTCGAATTTTTAACCGAAAATCGATCGGCTCGATTGGAATTTCGTAGACACCTTACCTTTTCTTATTTTTCCGATCAACGGGAAAACCTGACGGGACATTCGTGGAATTTACATAGGATTCCATAGAATTGCTCTTTTTCACACGATCAATCGATAAATTTACGCGAAAGAGGAGAAAAAGTTCCATTCCATACTTTTCCAACAATTTCACGCAAAGTGAAACCATTTTAATTTTAATTTAAATCTCCAACCTCTGATATCCCTTTATTCCGAATTTACGATCGAAATTATAGGGGTTCACGAAAGATTCACGAAGGATTTTGGCTTAAACGCCATTTAATTAACCATTATCCGGAATTATTATAATTCCAGCCGAAACAACCAATTTATTCGAACGTTATCCCGAACAGAGGAATAATTTTATGGAAAAACGGATATCAATAGAGAAATGAATGATTACGTCCATTCTTTCTCCCAACGTTTTCAACGGGAAGAAAGTCATGAAAACGTAAGGAGTCTCGCACGATTCGAAGAATTTGTTTAAAGGACACATCCGCCATAGCTATTTACTTTCGTCGACGCGAAATAAATATAGATAACGCTCGCCTCTCGAAACGGAGAAACGACGTCACGACAACGTGGGCGTCGTGCGATATAAAATTTCCCCCCTCGCCCACCTTTTCGAAGCAAAACTTATCAACGAACGACTCGTTAAATATTCGAAAGGATTATGCAATTTTAACCAAGAACGAGATGGATACACGCGGATTTAATTTACGCTCGTATAACAAATATCGCGTAATCCTAACCTAACCTAACCTAACCTAACCTAACCTAACCTAACCTAACCTAACCTAACCTAACCTAAACTTACCTAATCTAGCCTAGCCTAACCTAACCTAACCTAACCTAACCTAACCTAACCTAACCTAACCTAACCTAAGTTATAAACTTCCTTTCATCTTGAGATAATTTTATGCAAGTTGCACGATGTACTTGATAATGTTACTTATGGAGAACCGCGTTGGCAGCTCCCGGCCAGCAGGGGACAATCGCGTGTAAAGCGTTAGGTTGTTACAAAGTTTGAGAAACTCTGCTGCGAGGATATATCCCGGATAAACTGTCGAGGTAACGGAGAGCGGGACATCAAAACGTTGTTAAACGAAGATAAATTTTTCCGAACCGACTCTCCTTCGTTCTCTGCCAACTTTGACAAATATATTTCTTTATAACGTCGGATTAATTTCGCGACTGTCTCCGCGAAAATAACGTTTATGGTTCGGTTTCTCTCGGAACTTCGTTCAGAGTCGACGTGGTAAAAAGCGTATCCTTTCGACGGGGAGGGAGGGAGGGAGGGAGGGAGGAATTTTTAGATTTCGCTCCTCAACATCTTTACAACGCTCGTCTTTATTGAATTTTCGACCGCTTTATCCTCGAAACGATACGAATTTAACCACGCAACAACGCGTACAAGTTTTGACAGTGTAATCTTGAATGAACCAACTTCGTATTAAAGTTGACTTTTCCGCGTAATGAGATACAACTTTACCGCTACTAGGATTATGTCACCGAGTGACACAACACTTCGCATCCCCCTCCAAGTTCAAAACATCCTTTGAACGTTGTTGCGCGTTTCGAACATTACGAACTGATATTTCTTTTTTTTTAATATTATTTATCCCTTGCGCTCTCGCTTCGATTCTAAATTTTACGTTATACAAGAGGAATATATTTTGCGAAAAAAATTTCGAAATCGAATTCGTAGATATTTTAATTCTACTTAATTAATTTTAACAAAACATACTCTTTCTCGAAGATTATTTCGTCGTTTACATTTTCCAAATATTCAAACAAATATTCCCGTCTTTGTACATGGTTAAATCGGTCTAAGAGAGATTATCGATGAAATCTGCTTTTTGTCGATTTTCTCCACGCCCACCACTCGTTTAATTCTATTCTGTTAAATAACCGTGGAAAAGCAATTTCCATACACTGGTGGTTAATTATCGCGTATTCGTGCAATTACGATTTCGTTTTCGTTCGTTTCGTATTTTATTTTTAGAAAAATTGAATAACGCAGCAATCGTTAAAATTTAGGGGTTTTTGATACACCATATCATTTATGGATACTCTACGCGATACACCCACGTAAAATTTTCATTTGTCACTATCACAGTTGGTCGTGAAATTCAGTTGGTCGGACTTATACGAAAAATAAAATGAGAGACGTCAGAATGGAAGTACCGGTCTAATTCTTGCTATAAGTTTATAATCTTAGCAATAAGTTTGAAGCTGGGGAAAAGAAGAAGAAGAAGAAAAAAAAAAAGAATTGAGAAACGTGATAAAATATGAGAACGAAGGATATTTATAAATTTTGAATTTTATAGGAACTAACTCGCTCGATATTCGTGACTATCTCTTAAAAGTTGTTGTTCTTTACTTTCCTTCCCGCGGATAAATTATGCGCGAATGAGAAAGAAGATTTTAAAGAACCACTTCTATTCTATTCTCTCTATTTTTCTCTCGTTTTATTTTTGCCTCTGTAGCATAATATCAACTTCAATCGTGATATTACTAGATATGATGCAATTTTTTCCAGCACCTTCTTTCATCATCGATCGATGTGTACATATTTGGTTGATTAAGAAACCCAAGTGTTTCAAATGTATTCAAAATGAAAGTTTCGAAAAAGATGAAACGAGTGAATAGTGAAGATCGAAGGCAGCGATATTTGAAGTAGCAGCGGTTGATTTATTCGTCTACTGCCTGCTCATTGATTTTCCTCTTCTACTTGCACGTACAATCGATTCCCCTCGCAAAGTCGCTAAAGATTTTTCGAGATAGCTTTATCGCCTCGAATCACCCTTCTGATAACTGATCTTTCAATCGAATCCTATTTTTTTCTACGTATATATCGCGATTCATACCCGTTTGAAGAATATCGAGGTGAAACGAAAATATAAATCCTATAAAATTATTCTTTACATCGCGACGAAGAAATATGCAATTTTCCAATCTCGAAAATGTGTCGTGCGAATTTTTAAATGTAAATTTTCGTGTAATATTCTTCGTACACTTTACACGAATAACATAAATGTATGAAAGGAATAAAAGGATGCCCAAATATTAAAGAATTAACATAAAATCCATTAATCAAAATTCTCTTAATCAAAAAACTTTTTATCCATCCTACATTTAGAAATCTCCAATATTATTTCCATCTTTTCTATTCGTCTTAAAAAATAAATATATTTATCGTTTATAATTTTTCCCTCTCAATTAATCCTATTAAAACTTAAAGAAAAATTTTAACTTTGTAAATAATAATTTCCTCTTTAAAATTAAGCTTTTTTTTCTTTTATTTATCTCGACAGATAAATACATCCAATTTTTCCGAGATATCGCGAAAAAGGAGAAGGTAATTTTTACGCGTTTATTATCTCTGTCTTCGTCACTTACTCGGTTTCGACAAGTGATCGCAGCGATTCCTGGAAGGAAAGCATACATAGCACACATAGTAAGCATTTCCAAGAAAAAATGTAGGTCATTTGATCGGGGACCCATTCAAAAATGTTTCATAAATGACTCTGCATTGTCTTGACGAATGTGAACACTTCGAGTCTGTACATCTCCTCAACCGATTCAGATATCGGGTTTTTAAAAGAAAAGAATAACTTCAATGGCATGGCTTTCTCTATTTTCAGGAATGGATTTTGGATAACAGAATCCTTGTTACTTCTTTTTATTGCTTTTTATATGAAGAATTAAATTTGCCACGGTATGCTTTGGTTGTTGTGATATATCAAACATTTAAACTGAATATTTCAATGTAAAAATTCACAATCCATCAGTCACGAAAGAGGATTATTATTCGCAATAAACGTTTAACATTGTTACTTGATTTATCGCATTTCTGTTGTATTAGAGACGGTATTAAAACTATTCAACTTTTAAAGAAATTTTTCATCCTTCGTTATTAGTTAATAACAAGATTAGAATAGTGGCGAAGAGAAAAAAAGAAGGAAATGGGAAAGCAAAATGCGGACGATTCGACTGAAAATAAAAAAGTTTTCGTAATCTTCTTACATCTTTCCAATTTAAATCTCCATAATTGGAAACGATCCAATATTTCTTTATTTTAGCTTATTCGATTATAATTCTTTCAAATGATTTCAAAACGTCGATAATTCTGATTCTGATGTAATTTATGCTGGATTGGTCGCCTCTCTCCGATGGAAAGACAAATGGCCTACTCGATTATCGTGTTCTTTTGTTGAGGAAAAAAAAAAAAAAAAGAAAAATAATAGTCGCGCGACTATCTTATCTTTCAGAATTAGAATAATAATATAATTGATAACAAACTATGGAAGCGCATTTCACGATCAATATGCGTTCCCATTTTGTACAAAAGTTCTTTCGTTGAATGTACACTTGCGTCTATTCCACTCTTTTCTACTCTTTTCGTCTTTTTTTCTCTATCCTCTTTATACCCAACTTAATCCGATAATACCGGTAACGACATATCTTTTACGCTACTTTTACTTTCTCAAATAAACTTTTATCTCTGATCATTAATGAGAGAGAGAGGTGTAACCCATTTTTCGAAATAATTATTTATTAAAACAATTTTGCAAGCATTAACACCACTTCTGATTAATCGAAACGGATATAACTGTTCGTATAATAGATATCGATCTTGCTTGCGAAAAATATCCTATTATTTGATTCTACGGGACGAAAATTGGGGAAAGGAGGGAGACAACGCGCGATGTAAATTTTCGTGGAGCAAATTAACGGGGAGATATCGATGGGAGAGCATTTCTTTAAAGGATAAATTAAAAGGGATGGACAAATGGGGAAATGGAAGAGGAAATGAATGAAAAGAAATATTCAAATAATTTCGAATCATCGACGAGTTGTTTCAACTGTGGAATTGATCGTATGTGCATCTACGTCCCTTGTTCCAAATCCTATTTTCATCGAGGTGTTCATATTCATACAGGGAACAGGCAGAACGACGCTTGAATTCAGCAAAGAGACATAAAAGCCACATGACGCTCGTGTAACGAGAGTTTGCGAGGGAGAGAAAAGGATCGAGCATCGAAACTACAAAATGATCGATGTTTTATTTCCACCCCCGCAAATTGATTTTCACCCCAGGGTGAAAACCCTTTTACGAATCTCTATTTCGTAATTAATATTACAAATGCAAGCTCTTTTCTAATGTTGAATTATCGGAAAGAGAAAGAAAAGATATCGATTCGATTCGCGAAAATATAGGAAGGGAATTTGGAAAAGATTAATTCGCGTGTAAAAAAAAAAAGAAAAGGACAATCACTTTCACTCGTTGAATCGATTCCTCTCTTCGTCGCGCTACTTCCTATCCCCTTGTGTCCTCTTTACAACGTATTCACGCTTCCCTTTTTAGAGAGAATCGATTGCTCTATTTTGCTCTAGGTTTCTTCTATACCGTTATTTTTCATAAAAATAATCACGTTGAAATAATCGTCCCAATGTTGATAAGGAGGAGCATAAACGAAAATTATCGCGAGAGATAATAATTTTCAGCGTGCTTTTTCCAACCGCAGAACTTAATGCAAGTAGATACAAGATTGGAGCGCGCATTGTTCCAATTAAAGCGAACCGCCTCGATTACATATTTAATTTCATATACGTGAAATTACAAGATTCTGGTTATAGATTGTCGGATTAACAGATTGCCGTGCCTATTACTCGGATCGATGTAAATTAACGAATATCGCGAAAAATAGTGTGACGGACGACATTGTTCGAGTGGTTGGATGAAAAAAAAAGATAAGTTGAATTCAATATGCGATCGAGGATGAAAGCAAAGTGGAAGTAAAATGTTAAAAACGGGCGTAATTCGCAAATTAATACGCACGTTAATTTTTATCATCTGTGTAACGTCCAACTTGGATAAATTTGTTTGTCAAAAAACATTCTCATTCGCGAGGAAAACAAAATTGATAAAACCTCGGAAAGCTTTGAGATTCAGCACCGCGGAACACCGTATGCACGCTCACGTACACATATGCATTACTTTTATGAAAAATTATACGCGTGTCAATTGTCGAGATAATTAAATCATTTCCCCGATAATCAGTTCATTATCAACGCGAGAATCGTATCGTTGATGGAAAATTCTCTCGAGAAATTGTGTTTTCCGATTGCAAAATTCTATCTACGTTCGATTCTCGACTATCAAACCACTATCGACAACAAATCTACGGAATGGGAAGAAATCCGTACCTACCTTGGTGTCGTTGTGAATAAGACGCAGCCGAAATTTGGACAGAACGTTCATTTCGTTCACGCGCTCGACAGCCAATCTCGCCGCTTGCAGCTCGCTGGACCCTTCAGGTCTGGGCTCGGAACCTCGAGTCATCTCGAACAGACCCAGGATTGTTACGTTTATCTTTTCGAACGATTTCGCCGCCGTCCCGTTACCTTCCTGGCCCCCTCGATCCTCGATCCCAGCCGATGGAGAAACGACGGGGGAGGAGGTGGAAACGGAGACGCGTTTCTCGTCCGGAGAAGATTTTCCAGCGGCTATGTTGGAGGATCGCCGACCCGAGGACGCGCCGGGTAACCAGCTATCGTCCGTGGCGTCGGCCCCCCTCTCGTTCTCCTCCACCGCTTCCTGCCTTCGCTCCTCCCCCGTGTTCTCGTCCACTTTGCGATGCCGATGAAGGACGTCCCTGCCGGGACTCTTGGGAAGATCGGGCGAAACGGTGGACGGGTACGAGGCGAGCGTGGTCTCGCCGATATCCGCTTTAGGGGGGCCGAAGTGCCTCCTGTCGAACTTCTCGACCTGGGCCGCTGCAGGCGGCTTGTACGTCACTTTTATAGGGAATTTCTGCGAGCCCTCGAATCCAGTGAAAGGCTCCTCGCTCGAGCTCCACGACAGATTGCTCCCTTCCGCCCAATGGACCGGATTCCCCTTCCTCCCTCTCGCTTCATCGGGATCATCCGTGACCCCTCCGTCGGATCTGCCCCTCCTCGCGGACCTCCACGAGTCATTCGGCAACAATTCCTCCTCGTAAGCTTCGCAATTGGAAACGGATGCCACCCCCTTCCTCTCCGATTTCTGCCTCCTTCCAAAATTCCTCTTCGCCCTGGACGCGCCGCCTTTCCTCGCCGCGTTGCCCCGATCGTCCAACGACCGAGTCGCGCCCCTCCCGTCGATCGCTCCATCCTCCACCCCCTTGCCACCCCCTGCGTTATCGTTCCCCCTCCTCCGAAACTTTCGCTTCTCGTGTCGCGCGCGGAAATCGGCCGAGCGACCATCGGGCGCGAACGTGACCACGGCTCGTGATTCGTACCCGTCCTCGACGCCGAAGTCGTCGATACAGATCCGCTTCTCGCCCGACTTTCGCCGCGTTCCTCCTCTCCTCGACCGGGCGGAGATCTCGTTGTCGAACGCGGCCGAACCCGTCCATTCTCCGCCCCCGTGCGAATCTCCCCGGGAGTATTTCCTCTCCCCGATGTCGAGGAGGTGAGGGAACGCGGAAATATCGCGATCGCGAGGCTTGGCGCGGTCCTCGTCGCACGGCGACGCGCCACGAACGGACAGGAGGCCGAGGAGGAGCAGGAGGAGGGGGAGGGGGAGGGTATCGGGGGACGAGAACGATGGCAGGAGGAGGCGAGAGGAATCGCGACGCGTGTGGACGCGCTTCATAATCAGTCGCCGTCGACGTCGGTGGTTCGACGACTCGAAGCGTCTCTCAGCCGGCTTCTTCTCATCTGAAAATCCAACGATAAGCTGCGATGAAAGTGGATATATTTTTACAAATATACGAGTCTATTTCCTTTTTTTGGTATCCAAATAATTTAAAATTAAAATTTTTTAGATAGAACGCATATATCGCATTTTCCAATGTTGTTGCGATTAACAAATTCCATTCGATATATCCTCGAGGAGCGAGGAACCTATCGTTGTGCAATAACGTCCGTCGATGTCGATGACGATGATATAATAATATCATCGTCACCTATTTTCGATTTTCGAATCATCGAAAATCATGGAAAATCCGAGCAGGGAATCAAGTTTACGACGCAACGTCGCAAAAAACGGGGACACGTGTGCGCAATTGCACAAGTTATGTTAACGAGCTCTAGTACCCTTTTATCGTGGCAGGGTCCAATGAATTAAGCTAAGCGTAAACGATGACAGCGATTAAACAATGGGATTCAGTTTATTCGTCTTCCTTCGCGTTACGTAAGCTCGTGCCTCGCGAATCAACGTCGTCGTCGGGGCTTGCCCCCCCTCCGCGGCTTTTAACGTAATTGACTTTCAAACTGCTAACGCTCGTTATTAACGCACTCGAAAACGGTGGCTTTTCGAATTGCAAACTGCAACCGATACGCGTGCAATTTCAACTGTAACTTATTATTATGCATGAAAGTGACGATCGAATTTCGAATTTCTATGCATATAATATGTACACGATATATATATATATTACGTACGATTCGTAAATCGTCTCGATTTAACGTTTCATAAGAAGATAGAAATAGGACAGTTTCCTGTGTACACCTGTCAATTAAATTCTTTTATATAATTAAAAATTAATAATTAAAAATAATTAAAAATAATTTAATAATTAATAATTAAAAATTAATATTAATAAAATTTAATAATTAAAAATTATATAATTAAAATTATATAATGTCACATATCTCGTAAAAATGAACGAATGTATCGCGACTTGGTCCAACTGTCGATCTCTCGTAACTTGTTGTGCATGAAAGTGTCCATCGAATTTCGAATTTCTATAATATACACACATTTCGATTTAACATTTCATAAGAAGCTAAGACAGTCTCCCTGTACATCTATTAATTCTTTAAATTCTTTTATTCCAATTGTCGATCTCGGTCAACTTATCGTAACTCATGTAACTTATTGTACATGAAAATGCCGAATTTCGAATTTCGAATTTCTATGCATACAATATATATATAAACAATATTTTTATATATATATTAATATTTTATAAGAAAATTGGAATAAGACAGTCTCCCTGTACATCTATTAATTCTTTAAATTCTTTTAATTAAATTTCTTACGACTGGTCCAACTGTCGATCTCGGTCAACTTATCGTAACTCATGTAACTTATCGTGCAAATGAAAATGCCGAATTTCTATGCATATAATATGTATATAAACAATATTTTGATATATATTAATATTTTATAAGAAAATTGGAATAAGACAGTCTCCCTGTACATCTATTAATTCTTTTAATTAAATTTCTTACGACTGGTCCAACTGTCGATTTCGGTCAATTTATTGTAACTCATGTAACTTATTGTACATGAAAATGCCGAATTTCGAATTTCGAATTTCTATGCATATAATATATATATAAACAATATTTTGATATATATATTAATATTTTATAAGAAAATTGGAATAAGACAGTCTCCCTGTACATCTATTAATTCTTTAAATTCTTTTAATTAAATTTCTTACGACTGGTCCAACTGTCGATCTCGGTCAACTTATCGTAACTCATGTAACTTATCGTGCAAATGAAAATGCCGAATTTCTATGCATATAATATATATATAAACAATATTTTGATATATATTAATATTTTATAAGAAAATTGGAATAAGACAGTCTCCCTGTACATCTATTAATTCTTTTAATTAAATTTCTTACGACTGGTCCAACTGTCGATTTCGGTCAATTTATTGTAACTCATGTAACTTATTGTACATGAAAATGCCGAATTTCGAATTTCGAATTTCTATGCATATAATATATATATAAACAATATTTTGATATATATATTAATATTTTATAAGAAAATTGGAATAAGACAGTCTCCCTGTACATCTATTAATTCTTTTAATTAAATTTCTTACGACTGGTCCAACTGTCGATTTCGGTCAACTTATCGTAACTCATGTAACTTATCGTGCAAATGAAAATGCCGAATTTCTATGCATATAATATATATATAAACAATATTTTGATATATATTAATATTTTATAAGAAAATTGGAATAAGACAGTCTCCCTGCACATCTATTAATTCTTTTAATTAAATTTCTTACGACTGGTCCAACTGTCGATTTCGGTCAACTTATTGTAACTCATGTAACTTATTGTACATGAAAATGCCGAATTTCGAATTTCGAATTTCTATGCATATAATATATATATAAACAATATTTTGATATATATATTAATATTTTATAAGAAAATTGGAATAAGACAGTCTCCCTGTACATCTATTAATTCTTTTAATTAAATTTCTTACGACTGGTCCAACTGTCGATTTCGGTCAACTTATCGTAACTCATGTAACTTATCGTGCAAATGAAAATGCCGAATTTCTATGCATATAATATATATATAAACAATATTTTGATATATATTAATATTTTATAAGAAAATTGGAATAAGACAGTTTCTCTGTACATCTATTAATTCTTTAAATTCTTTTAATTAAATTTTGCATCTTACGACTGGTCCAATTGTTAATCTAATCAATTGTAACTTATTGTATTCGAATTTCGAATTTTTATGCATTTAATATATATATAAACAACATTTCGATTTTAATATTTCATAAGAAAATTGAACAGTTTCTCTGTACACCTGTTAATTTTTCAAATTCTTTTAAATTAAATTTCTTACGACTGTCGATCTCGGTCAACTGTAACTTATTGTGCACAAAAGTGCCGATCAAATTTCGAATTTCTATGCATATAATATATATATATATATATATTACGTCTCGATTTAACATTTCATAAGAAGATAGGACAGTTTCCTCGTACATCTGTTAAATTAAATTCTTTCAATTAAGTTTCTTACATCTCGCGCGGATGAACGAATGCATCGCGACTTGGTGCAACCGTCGATCTCGGTAAACCGCGTTTAAACCGGATATCGACAGCCTCGTCGAATCGAATATGAATCGACACTTTCCTGTGCAGGTCTGTCCTTTTATTTCGATCCTGTTTCGCTCTACGAATCGCGTGAATAGGGCGTAAAGTAACACCCGTGTCACTTTCGATACCCCCCTACTCGATCGAGGAACGGACGTAACGGCTTTGATGTAAGACACACCCCCTCGCGTAAATTTCGCTTCCCTCCGTCTGTTCCAATTTGACGCACGAAGGAAGGGCGTGGATTGATGATCGCGAGATAAATGTATCGAATTGTTTATCCAAAGCTCTCTTTAAAAACCGACTCTTTAACCCTCTATCGCTCTCAAGATTGGCGTTAACAAGTTACGAACGCGAGGACGAATCGTTCTTTCTTCCTTGACGAGAATCGAAATGATAAAAAAAGAAAAAAAAAAAAAAAATGAAAATAAATAGACGAAACAAAAAGGTGTGAGAGTTACGGAGCTCATTTTCTTCGGGATTTGTAGGTGGAATAAATTTCTAAAAGGAAAAACTCGGGTGGATGGTGATGGATCGTACGATTGCTTTTCTCGAAAATATTCTCGACGAACAGGGAGGATCGCTACCTTCGAATTCTTTCCTACTATTTTTGTTTCGTTTCGTACTCGATACACTTTTTCGTAACGACTTCGTAAAACGCGCCTGGGAAATTGCGTTTACGGAGAAAGAAACTGGCATGGATTCCACGTATACATCTCCGTTTCCCTTTCCCCGAGGAAATAATGTTCGATTATTGAGAATGCGTCGTAAAACAATTTCGTCGTGTAGATGGCGATGTCCGAACACGATCCGCGTCCGAGAAAAGAGTAAACTTTATGTACGTTGAAAAATGGAAAAAAGGCGATATCCGAAAGTGTAATTTGATAACAGCTGCTGCGAAAAATTACTTTTCTCGAAACGAGATACAGAGCCCACGACGTACGATGTTTTCGTCCGAACGCACGAATCGGGAGCCGCCACGTTTTCTCGATAATAAGAAAATATGAGGAAAAACGAGAGGGAGAGAGAGAAACGCGAGTAAGTAATAACGTAAGTAACACGGATGAAATTGTGAAAGTTGGCGGAGCTCGTTCGATTTTTACACCAAACATGTATTATTGATCACATCTTTCTTTCTTTTTTTAAAACGAGAATTTCAAAATCCGTGATATCCAAGTACTGAATTTTTCCATACGTACGTGTTCCATCGTAATCCGTCACAGAATTTTTCTTATGTCTTCGAAGCAAGACCGCAACTTTGGGCGATAACGAACGTTTCGTTAGATCATTTCGCTCTCGTCGAAACTCTAAACTCTTTAAAGGCAAACTTTCTCGAAGGGGACGATCCACGGAGCGACGAATTGCGCTCTCTTCGTTTAAATCCTGGCGAAACTCGCGGGGGGAATTAAAGAAAGTTTTCGGGAAACGTTAGGTCGAGAACGGAGAGGATTAAATCCTTATTCTCCTCAAACGCGTAACAGATGACGAAGAAACCGATTTTTGAAAAATTTTTTTTTTTAAATTTATCGATCGCGAGGAATTTGCCACTCGTATCCAATCTAATCGATCGAATTTATTAGAATTAATGGGAAGGCACGAAAGAAAGAAAGAAAGTCGGTGCGGTCTTAAAAGCTTCGTTTCCTCGAGTTCGCTACTCGGCCCGTTTATTTTTTTTATCGAGCTTTCGCCCACGCTTTCGCAATCAATTTTTAACGGTTGTTAGAATGCGATTAAAGAAAAGAAAAGAAAAGAAAAAAAAAGAGAGAGAGAAAAAAAAATACGATGGATTTTAAAAGATGATGGAATGACGTTAATTGAAAGTATCAAGGATATCGTAAAATACGAAAGAATCATTCTGACTTCGATAAATATATACGCCTTTTGCGAAAGTTAACGTGGAAGAAATAGATTGTAAACTTGGGATATTTTCTTAAGGTGATAAACAAGAGAATGCTTCTGAATGGAGGAACTTTCGAAAACCGATATCGAACCAGCTTTTTCTCATCGTATTTTTTCTCGTATTTTTATTATTATTATTTTTCTTATTTTTTTTTTTATAGAAATTTAATATTAACAAAAAGCAAGTAGTAACAACTAAAGGTTCTCGATAAGAAAATTTGTCGTTAGGACGGCTTTTTTCTTACGATATTTCAGGATATATAAGGGATATATAAGGGATAAAGAACGTACGAATTACCATAAAATCGTGTAATATTGCTCGAAACGTCGCATTTTTCTTCAACGAAATCGCAGAGAAATGGATGCCGATGATTTCTCCGAATATTGCGTTCCCCCTCCCCCCCCTCTCCCTCCCCTCTTCTTCCAATTCTTCAATCAGCGAAAAATCCTCTCCCCTATAAACGTGTCACCATTGAAGCGATAATTGACAAAACTAATAATCGTTCCACAGTTTTTGTACAAACACCAGTATTCCTCTGTCTTCTCGTCCCATCGAGTCTTAATCCATCGCGAATCGATCCTCGTATCGACGTTTCTCATCCACCCCCTGACTGTTTCCGATTCGACTATATATCATTGGAAAAAAAAAACTTTCCCTCTTTCCTTTTTTATCTTATTCAACTCATATACAATTTACGTTGACTTTTTGCGTTCCGATATTTTAAACGATGATACTCGATCGAACATCATGGAATAATATACTCAACTAAGATCGTTGTTGTAACTCGAGTTGTACTTATTTTACCAATCTTGTTCCGCGGAATAAAGAAACGAAGTTGTTCCTTTTGCTACTGTTCGCGGTAGCTTTTCGAAATTTATCGAAAGAGTTATCGGGGAGTTGGTGGTGGCGCGAAAGTAAATACGGAGATAAAGTGGCGTGAGAAAGATATACATATGTATATATCTGAAAGAACTGTGGATGTACAGACGGAAAGGTATCGCGACGGAGCAACCGCGTCGCGTGGTGGCGGTTCGCGCACTGTTGGCTCCGTGGAATTCTACGTGGCTTGTCTCCTACAGGAGTTCTCGCGACAGGCCTCCCTCCGTTAACGCGCAGACTCTCGTCTCTCTTGCATTTTCCCTTCGGACGAAAAACCTACCGTTCATCGAACCGCTATTTATTCCGCTTCCATTCTTCGAATTTCCCTTTACGAATTTACTTGCGTTTTTCGATCAACCCCCTTTGTCTCCCCTCCTTCGAATCCTTCCATGTTTTACGAGAAGAAACTCGTTCAAAATAAAAGGATAGCTTAAAGATACAAGAGAGTTAGAGGAGAGTCGACGAACGCGTTCCAACGGCAACAAATTCCAACTAAATTATTATTCACCTGTTTATCAAAAACATGTCCTATTGTTTATAATTTTAGGTCGATCTGCTCCATCAATTTTAAAATTTAAATAGCTGCAGTATATTGTACAAAGGTAGCATAATAAATTGTCTTTTAATTGAAGAATTGAATGAATGGATTAATGAAATAATATCTGTCTCTAAATTGTTTAATGAGTTTAAATATTTAGTTAAAATTCTAAAATTTAATTATGGGACGATAAGACCCATATAGAATTTTATTTAATTTATTGTTTATATATGTATTAATTTACAGACTATAATTTAAATTTGACTGGGAGGATTAATAAATTAAATAAACTTTATTTAAAATTTAATTTTTATTTAAATTATCTTAGGGATAACAGCGTAATATCTTTTGATAGATCATATTGATAAAGATGATTGCAATCTCGATGTTGAATTAAGATTAAAATTAAATGCAGAAGTTTAAATTTTGAGTTTTTGTTTGAATTTTGAGAAGCTTGCACGATACTCTCCTCCTCCCCTTGAAATCCCCCGATAAGTCAATCGATGATTTATCATGTTTATTTTCCCCATCCAGAAATCGATCTCGTCGAAATCGAGAGAAAAAAAATTTTTCTAAATATCCGTCCGATTTCGCGTTTTTAATTAATTATTCTATATCAACGTGTTACGTATTTATATATAACGAGGGGGCATCGATCCATCGCAGAAAATTATGCAAATTTCTGCGTGTTTCGAAAATAAACGGGGATACGAGCGAGCGATGAAGTTGCAGGATATTTTCTAATAACGTTGCCAGATTTGACCGAAAAATAATTATACCCAATTTCCAATTCTTCAAATTTAATTCAATTTCGATTTCGAGACGATGGGTAAATTTCCATTTCGAACGTTAATATCGCTGTTGACTCGACTCCTTAGCAGTTTAGACTGCCAAGTAAATCCAAAATTCAGCTTGTAACGCGCATACGCAAATGTCGATTCCTCGACGATTCCTCGATCCTTCGCAATCTTTTCAAAAAACACGGATCTTCTCGTGAAACGAAGGAAACGTAACGAGGATAAAGCGAGTGGTGCAAAATTTCGTGCAACTCGGTTTCGACTCGTTTACTTGCTACGAAATTACTCTTAAAGTCGAAGCTTTTGCTCTCGATCGAATACCCTTTTTATTTGGAGGACTCCTTTTGATCCTCCGGAGAATAGACGGAATACAAACGGTTGTCGAGGGGAGTGGAGAGCAAGCTTTGTATCCTCCGTTACCAATTTGCCGCAATCCCGATTTGCTTTGTCCGTTTGTGCGTGTCATCCGTCCACGGGAGGGATTATCGAATTATCAACCAATATCCACCGACGAAGATCGAGCGAGGATCGCATTTCCGTACTTTCTTGCGGAAAAAAAACGCGGGAAAGGAACGCCAAGTTTTTTTTCCAAGTTTTAACGCTGTTCCATTTCGAAGAATTCGCGGGGTGTATACGCGAGTATCGGGATAGGAGGAAAATTACGGAAGAAAAAAGCGCTCGCTTGTTTCGTTGAATTTCGAGAAATTCTTTTTATATTTGTATCCGTCTTTTCGGAATACGTGACTGAGAACTAGCATCTGTTATGTACGCCGGTCGCGTACTCGCAAACGCGAGAGAAATTTTTTTCCCTTTTCCCCCTCCCCGTCTTCTCATCTCGTTAAAAAACGTTCGTAAGAATGGTAAAAGGTGGAGAGATAGGAAAAAATGGATTATTCCTCTTTGTATCGCGGAAAGAAATATTTCGTTCGATAAGGTGAAAAGAAAGACGAGAGAAGAGGGGGGNATGAGAGGATATATATATAAGATGTATATAGGAAAATTCACTTGAAACTTGAGGGAAATTTGAAAAGAAATTATACTCGAAGTTGTTAAGGGATGGATGGAAATGAAATATCGTCCCTTGCCCATATAAAAATAAATCCTCGGCGACGAGTGAACGCTACGCGCTCATTTAACTCTCTTTTCCAGCGTAAATCTCGTTTATCCGTCGAGGCAATTCTCGCTGGACTCATTTAGAGAAGATCGCGCGTTAAAATAAGATTGCAGGGGAGGGGAGGGGGAGGATCTCGAAGATTGAGTTTCGAGATACAAGAAAGTCGGAAACGATCGAGAATCGATCGGGGATGGGACGTTGTCGAAACGTTTTAATTTCAATTTTAACGCGGTTTAAATTGGGGATATCTCGCGATTTCACGCACGCCGATTCGATAATTTTAAACCGTTTTAAACTTTTAATCGAGAGTTTGATGAGATGCATTGACGTTAAATGAGTTTTTTAAACGAACGTTTCATTCGCAATTGTTTTAAATACGTGCAATGATTTCGAGTATCCACATCGAGGGAATGAAATCGAAAAATGAAATCTTTTATCGCGGTATCCGATTTTCCAATTTCTCTTTGAAATCGAATATCCAATCGTATTAGATACGATTAGTCATTGGAACGAACTGAATTTTCAAAAACACGTTAATTAGATCCATTATCATTTTCGGATAAATACAATTGTTAGAATCATGTTTTACATTTCTCTTACCCTCGTTTAAATTACCTTTTCACCTTTTGTTTACTCGAATTTTCTCGAAGAAAGAAGGAATGATCAAAGTTGTTAATCGGATTGTCGATCGATATATCCCTTTTTCATTCCCTCTCGATCGATTCGTCGATCCATATTCCATCTATTTTCCATCCACTTTTGTTTCGGAAATCTATCTCCCCAGAGAGAGTAGAATTACCCTTGATAATATCGCTCTAAAGTCTCTTTCTTTCATTTTACAACGGGCCTCCCTCTCCTGTCCCGGCTATTATTAATTCGTATAAACTTTTACGAAACGGCTAATGTAATTAAGGATTAGATAGGAAACAAGTAGGTAATTCCCAAAGCGCCGAAACTTGAAATTGCGCCGTGTATTTCGCGTTTAAAAAGCTCGAGCCGTGCTTTATTCGACCGCGAAAAAGAGGTGTTATAATAATAAATGGCGGGATCTGATGGAGGAGGCGAAGAGAATCCAAAATGGCCGAAAACGAATCTTTAAACGCTTCGTCTATTCGGTGTGCACGAACTTATTATATACTTGTCGAATACTTTGTTCTTTGTTGTTCCGTTGGTTGTCTCTCTCGGTTGGAAATTTATCGCTTACACAGAGTGAATCAGAGCATGCGGATAACCGGGTGGATGGCGATGAATGTACGCGTTGCACGCACCTATCATGGCAACAATACCATCTCTCTAGTCTCTAGATGAAATCCCAAGGATTCCCGATAACGAACACCATCCACCCAAAATTTATCCACACCCGAAGATACCTGCTTCCATCCATCCTTTGGACGAGCGCGAATTTGCAAACCGTTTTCATTTTTTAATTTTTTAATTTTAACCCATTTCGAGTTCAATCAGCATCGTTCTCGAGTCACGTTGTACGACAATAGTTTTAAATTTAATCTCACCTTCCCCCAGGACCTCACGAGTGACCTCACGAAGGAACGAAAGTAATTAAACAAACGAATAGGACGATTCAAGGATCCAGCTTGAATCGAAGATGGACACGTTTTTCGACATTTCAAATCGTCGAAATAGGATCGATCGATCTTTCTTTCTGCACCCTTCCCGGCGAGAAAGCTTTTATGAAAAAGAAAAGGGAGAAGAAAGAAGCAATAATAGAACAATTTGCAAGTTGGAGCGTAAGCGAGTAGCATTCGATTACACTTCACTCGACTAAAGGAAACTTGGAGGAAAAATTAATGTAATTTGGAAAGGCTCGCGCCCGGGCAATTGAACGCAGAAAGTCGAGCAAGTAGGAAACATTAGGTATTTTCTATCAACTTGACAAATTTAATTACGGATTTTCTTCCGGAACATTACGGTTGTAGGAACGGCGATAAACGTACCTTGCCCTCCGAGTATCTATACGGGCAAGTCGAACGAGTTGACAAGTTTTGAAAAGAAGAAGGAGGAGGAGGAGGAAGAAGAAGAAGAAAAAAATAGGTGAAGAACGGAACGAAGGGCGTGACTGGATGGAAGTAGCAGTTGTATGTATGCCTAGCACGACATCATAAAAAGAAAAAAAAAAAAAAAGAAGAAGAAAGAGAATGAAATCTAGCCGGAGATGCAAGAAAGAACGGACACTCGAGCTTTGGCTGACGTCGCTTTACGTGCCGGCATAATGGCCCTTGTCTTCACCACAGTACCAAGTTCTATTCAAGCTTGAAGGGACTTCTCTACGACACCGACGCGATTCTTAAATCTACTTAGCAGGCCCAGTTTCTTCCTCCATCTGCCCCCCTCGTTTCGCCTCCATCTTCGTCGTATCTCCATCGTTTCACCTCGACGATCGCCACGCACGGATTCCCCGTTTCCCCCCTCCCCGAGTCGCACGCACGCCGTGGATGGAAAGAAAGATTAATGACGGTGAACGGAGCGGTGCTCGAGTATTCGCGCCTTGATCGCTTTTGTTCCCCTAACTACCCCCTGTTAGTGCTCGTTAAACCGATTTGCTAGTTCCCGAGTAAACAATAGGGACTCGCATTATGGTCACGACAATACGATGCAAATATGAAACTAGAGCGTCATCGCCGATCGATTATTAAGTTTGAACGCGTCTGGCTAAATTAAATTTACATATTATATATACACACGTTATGTTACACGTTAGATTCCATTTACGACTCGTTACGTACGTAACGATAATCCCTGAATCGATCGGATCTTATCTTTTCCCTGGAAAAAAAATTGGATCGAGTAGCGTAAAGCGATCATCCATTGCTTCTAATCAAGGAAACATACACACACATACATATATATATATATATATATATATATATATACATATTGTATATATACTTGCCCGTATAGATACATACATATATATATATATATATATGTATGTATCTCTCGAAGAGTTGTCGTAGTATGTTACAGGTTCGTTAAGACGGTGTTCCGACTTTCGCCCAACTTTATCCCGGCACACGTATGCGAGCATTCGAGCATGACGTGAAAATTAAATTCCGAGAATTGACTTGCTCGTATCTCTCGATATCTCTCATCGGCTCGCCCTACAAATTGAATCCTTCCCTTCCTCCCTAATGAGGTTCTTGGATCTGCAACGAGACGTAAAGGACGTTCTGGATCGAGAATTATAAACGCTATTCATTCCGCTGCGAATTTTCCGTCGGCACGCCGTGAGATGAAGCGCGTGTTCGTATTACGATTTTTCTCTCGTCGCATATCTTCGTAGAATTCGATAGGGTTCCGCGTTAATTACGCGATAGCCGAGTCAAGACTCTCTTTGTAATCGATTAAACGATCTCGAGCACGAGAACTCCTTTCTATTATTCAACGATCCCTTCCTAAGGGCTTAACGCGATAAAAACACGTAAGCGATTCTTTCGTAACGTTTATATTTTATACTTTCGGTTTTACGTATGCTATATGTAATATACATTATGTTTACATTATGTTTACATTGTATACGCGTTTTACGAATTTTTGTTTCAAATTTTCTTCGGACGATCGACGAGTTTCGATCACGAAAGAATCGTTTCTCCTCTTCGCTATTAAAAAACATCATCGCTATTAAAAAATGTAACGTTCAATTATCGAAGCGGTCGATACGGATTGAATCCGGTCGACAACGAACAATAAAGTGCGGTGCTTCCATCTCTTGTTGTTGGTAACAATTACTTGCTCCATCCTCAGTAGTAGAAGCTACTGCGGTCGGGCACAAGTAGATTCGGTTCGTTCTCGGTCGGACATTTATCGAGTTCACAATGTTCCATTCGCGCAACGGATAATAAATACAATCCCGTTTGAAAATCGATCGATTGATTGGAAAAATTTTACCAGGAGGGAGGGAGAGAAAGGAAGGGGAAGGAGAGAGAGAGAGGAATACTCGTACTTTAATTTTCGAGATCGCGTTTGGTTAAAAAAAGAATTAAAAGAATCGAAGGAAGATCGAGTTATTTATTTTTCAAGGATAAAAGACGTACGTCTACGCGTTGCTCTCTCATACGTCGGACAAAGTATTCCCTCCCCTCCCCCGAGCATCATACGAAGCGTCATACGTACGAGTCTTGGCTCGTTGGGGTATCAAAGGCCTCTCTCTCTCTCTCTCCTCTCTCTCTCTTTCTCTATCCCTTTTCCTATCCCGATTCCTTTGTATCGTTCCCCTTCGACTCACGTTGCTCGCCACGTATAGACAATACGATCGGTGTCACTATACACAATCCTCCGTTTCCGACGACCGACTTAGCCACCGTGTTGCGTTGTCGCGCATGCGTGTTGAATCGAAAGGAGCGGGCTAGGGGTCGCCGGGAGAAAGAGGGAGTCCCGGCAAATCAATACGTATATATCCGCTAGTAACCGGCCAGTTGGGGCTCATCCTTCGCGATAGAAGCATCGAGATCCGAAACGGCGAGCATCGAAATTCATCCGGATAGTTTTCCGCTCTCGATGTTCTCTTTTTAACCGCTTACCCGCTCACCTCGCCGATCGATTCTCTCCTCGTTTTACAAAGGAAAGTCACGCGACCCGCGAGCTATCCGGTGCACGCCAGGCGGCTATATCGGCCCAAGGTGCAAGGTGCTACCGCTCGGAAAGGTAACTGACCCTGTGCAACAACGCGAACGTTCGGGCTGAATCAACTCGAGGAGACCGGTGACCTCCGAAGCGGCAACATCGATCGCTCCTTTCTTCCAGACGTTCCGGGCTCGGGTTCGCGATTAACGAGGAAGTAAGTCGAGGGGAAAGAGAAGAGGAAAGGGAAGAGAGTGCGAATCCGGTGGAAGAAATTGCTGGAGGAGTTTGATCGCGAGCCGAAGGGAGAGAGAGAGAGAGAGAGAGAGAGAGAGAGTAACGCGAGGAGGGTATCGAGAAGGAAGCAACGCGATCATCGATCGGTGGCAACTTGACTCGAAGCAACGTCGAATCGGGTGCCGATATCGGTAAGATCTCTGCGCCGAAGGGCTCTCGGAAGGGCGGCAGCCTATTGGAACGTCCGGTGGGAGCGCGTGGTGATTACTCGTTCCGCACGGATTTTCCGAAACACCCCCAAAACGGCAACCCGTGGTCGTTGTGGTGTTGCCGGGGCCCCGCCGTTAACCGCGAGAGATCGCGAGAAGGGAACTTGGCAGAATCGGCGGGGCGATCGCCCAGAGGATCGGCCTCCTCGTGCGCGACCGGCTCCACCACCACCACCACCATCTACGCCGCTTGCTGGCGGCCTAGTGAAATGGAGGAGAAGTCCTCGGCTCGGTTCTCCGAGTACTTGTTCGCCAAGATGGATGGCCAGGACGTGTCGGCCTCTCAGGGTCCCCGTAAGGTGACCGCCGACACCAGAAAATTCATGCGGGAGAATCTTCTTCTCATAGTTACCCTTTCCGGTGTCCTCTTCGGCGTCGTGCTCGGTGAGTAATCCCCTTTCCAAACATCTCGTTCATCAAACGTCTCGTTAATTACCCCCTTTTTTTTCTTCTTTTCACGCGTTCACCCCATTTATTAATATCGCGATATGTCGAGTAAATGTCGATCGGTTACGCGACAGAGAAAACTTTCGATCGACTTTTCGTTCGACAAAGTGCGCCCCAGGTTCAGGGACTTTTTCATCCGTGAATACTCGATGTATATATATATATATATACATATATATATATATATAGAGAGAGAGAGAGAGAGAGAGATACGAAGAATGGGTTGAGTAGAAGGTATATACGTTACAAACGTGATATATTCTGGACAAGTACGATAGTACCATGCCAAAAGCATCCCCTACGCTTTCGTCCATTATGGAAAAGGGTGCCAAGGTCGAGGTTCGATCCAACTTTTTCCATCGTCGATCGATCGCGTAATCGTGGACGGAGCTCGTTTTCTTTTTTCCTCTTTCTTTCCTTCTCCCTTTCTTTTGTTCCTCTCGTCGCGGAAACGTCACGTGTCCAAATGTCGCGGATAATAAGTTAATAAGTGATCGCTGTGTGCGCGTTATTTAACGATCGGGGCTTCGTAATCGTTCGATCGATACGTAAACGTTCGATGACGTTTCCTCGAGAGATTGATCGCCGTAAAATTGACAATCGGGAAGGAACATATATATATATATATATATATATATATATATATACGGATTTAATAAGCTTCGAGAGAGAGAGCATCATCGAAGGAAACGATCTCCCTTTGAAATTAACGTACGTTACGTAAAACGTGACTGTATTATCCTGTTAGAAAGTTACCAATTATTGGCGAGAGGTTTCCTTCCAAAGTCTCATCTAATTAACTAACTAAGTGTCTTTCCGAAGCCGAAAGAATAAGCTCTTTCGTACGTAAGATAATATTTTCTTCCTTTTTTCTTTTTCTTTTACCCCCTCCTTTTCCCGAGTTGTACAACATTTTTCTTTTTTCTGGACTTTTAATTGCCACAGGAGGCAAATCTCCTTCGAATCGACGACGCAAAATCGTACGTTCGAATTACATTTTTAAATTCCTATTTATTTATTTATACGGCCATCGATAAAGCAATTCCCTCCCCCCCCCCCTTCCCTTTTCTTTTATAATTTCGTGCCGTCTATAGACGATCGACGACAATTTACAAAGTTATTCTCGTTTATCAAACTTGTCGTTGCCAACAATTTTATCGTCCACTTCTAGATACACACCACTTGTGCGTATCTTTTATTACGTTTAACCTCGTCGCTCGCTGTTGTATGGATATAATTTCTCCCTCTTTTTTCTTTTTTCTTTCTTCTTTTTCCTCACAGATAAGAATTTCAGAAGGTGAACTCGTTTTCGATCCCCCCGATTACGTTACTTCATCACGTTCACCTTGAATAGCCTTAAGCCTTCTAGAAGTCATAGGTAGTAGTAGTAGTATTAGTATTAGTAGTAGTAGTAGTAGTAGTAGTGGTAGCAGTAGTAGTGTGCGGTAATCTCGTTATTTTTTTCAGGGTTCGGTTTACGACCCTTGGGCCTCGGCGATGACGCAGTTATGTTAATCAGTTATCCCGGAGAGCTCTTCATGAGGTTGTTAAAGTTAATGATCTTACCACTGGTGATTGCCAGCCTTATATCGGGTAATTATACGTAACTTTATGCGTTATACGGAGGAAAAGGGGAGTAAATAAAAATTGGGGAAGAAAAAAAAAAAAAAAGGAATAAGATCGGAATGGAATCAAGTTTTTGACGGATAATTTTCAGGCTCGGCGAGTTTGAACGCGAGGATGAACGGGATGATCGCCGTCCGAACTTTGGTGTACTTTATACTCTCCTCCTTGTTGAACGCTGTCCTCGGTGTTGTCCTGGTTCTGCTCATTCATCCGGGTAATCCTGGAATTAGAAAATCGATCGCGACCTCGCACAATGGAAGGGCCGTGAACATCTTGGACAGCCTTCTCGATTTGGGAAGGTGGTATTACATTTTCCTCCCCCTCCCTCCCCCTCCCCCGAGAATCGCGGCGCGCTCTTGCTCTTTCGATAAACCGCGATCGATCACAGCTCGCTCGTTATTTCCGTGCTTTTGCGTCGACACGTTGAGGGGACACGAGCCGTTCCGGAATTTTCCTACGGATAAAAGTAGAATCCTTTGCTCGACGTGGGACGAGCAACGCTTGACTCGTTCCACTCTTCTCCTTAGGGATATATCGCGCCTCTCCCTTCCCTCCGCTCCTCTCCTTACTTCCCTTCATTTTCGATCGTTTCTCGTCGATTCCTACGCTCCCCTTCCTCTCCTGAACAAGGGAAGGATAACAAAATCAAATACTCTGGGCGACAATACTCTGGGGAACGATCGTTAATAGCGTGGTTCGATACGCCAACAGCGTTTCCCCCTCGTTTACACGCAACGTTATAAATTATTACGTATCCACGGTTATCGAAGAGGAGAATTAAGGTCGTCGCGATTTCACCACCGGTGAACTTCTCCGTGTGGCAGGATATCTATATCCATATCTATCCATCTATCCTCTAGGATGACAAAAATAAAATATATCGATCGGGTATATACGAGTACTTTATTTGCCAGTCCGTTTAAGCAACGCTTGCTCGCTATGCATGCATGCCATCCGCTAATGGAATTATATACGCCGTATATCGTCGATAAACCTATCTATCGATCGATTGCTTATTATAAAAAAATATATATATATATATGTTACAGAAATATGTTTCCGGATAATATATTCCAAGCAGCTTTTCAGCAGGTACGCATCTTTTCTTTTTGCGGTGAATAGAAGAATAAGAACTTTTGAAACAAAGAATGGAATGTTTCCCTTGGCAGGCACACACGGTATACGTTCCAAAAACGCCGCCCTTCCAGAACCTCACCTCGACGGTTTCGATATCCTCGGACGTTCTCGGTGACGAGGAATTGATGAGAGTGACGCAATACAGAAGCGGGACAAACACTCTGGGCATTGTTTTCTTTTGCCTGGTGTTCGGCACATTCTTGGGCACTCTCGGGGAGAAAGGCCAGATCGTGATCGACTTCTTCAAAGCTGTGTTCGAAGTGATCATGAGAATGGTGTCTACGGTGATGTGGTGAGTAAGAATATAAAATAATTTCTCGGGTATATGGAATAATACGATACAATACCGAATTAATTCGCACGCAGGATGACACCTGTGGGCATAACATCGGTGATAGCTGGGAAAATATTGGGCGTAGCCGACTTGGCGTTGGTGATGTCGCAGCTCGCCTGGTTCATCGTCACGATCGTGATCGGTGTGTTTTTCTATCAGCTGGTGATCATGCAGCTGATCTATTTGGCCTTCGTGAGAAAGAACCCCTTTAAATTCTACGCCGGCCTCGCCCAGGGTACACTCACCGCCTTCGCCATGGCATCAACGTGAGTCGTCGATCTTCGAACACAGCCCGACCTTCAGAGTTACCCACATATCGCCCACCTCACATGGCCTCGGTCGTCATCGTCATTTATTTCTCCAATCTTTTCTCCGACTCTTGGGTTCATCGCGAAAATTTTTAATTTCCCCGCTCCCCTGCTCAACTTGTCTCCTTCTTCCTTTCCTTCTTTTTTTTTTTTTTCTCCCCCACCCAACCCCTTTTTACATCGCGTCGTCGAAGAAATTGAAAAAAAAGAAAAAGAGGCGATCAAGACTCGAGAGAAACAGGTGGACGCATGGTCCGAATCGATTGATAGAGACAATATGTTTCAGCTAGCCGAGAGGAGGCGTTGCGAGGCCTTGATCCCCCACACACACGCTATTTCCCCTAGATTCGTCCATTGCCGTTCGACAACGTTAAGACCCGTTGTCGAACGTATCCCATCTTCTCCCTTCTTTCATTCGATCCCTCTTCGAAATCCCTTTTTCTACTACTACACGTTTTCTCTTTAATGTTTCTGCGTTGCTCGCGGGGGGAACTGTTCGTGACCAATAAGAGAGAGAGAAAGAAAGAAAGATAGAGAGAGAGAAAGAGAGAAAGGGAGAGAGGTATGCAGTTCCGGGTGGCACTTAGGATGCGGATACTCCCGGTTCTTTCTTTCGTAGCGCACGATCACGAACTTTCGGCTTCGAAACGAAATTCTTTCGTTTCGTTTAGTTTAATCTCCCCCCCCTCCTCCTTCACCCCGTTCACCGAAATTTCGATGACACTCGGGACGAAATGAGACTACCGACAGAGAGAAAGAGAGAGAGAGAGAAAGAGAGATAGAGATGTGATTTTTTATATAACCGGAAATCAGCTGACTCCGTGTCACCTGGACTGATCGTTGGCGTTGGAAGATTTCGAAAAGCTTCCGATCCGAATCTTCTTCTGCCCCTCTTACTTCTGTCTTCAGAACAGAAGAGCAGTAGTCGGGGCAGAGAGGAGGACGAAATCGTGGAAACGTAGCACGTAACGTTTCATCCACTTACATACGCCGCTTGGAAAAAATAATTTCCACGAATTTTAAGAGAGAGAGAGAGGAAAGCTGAAAAAAATATTGATTGCTCGTGTCGAGCCCGCTCTTCCAGGTTTGCCGGCGCCGTCCAGAACTGGCCAGAACTCACCCGAACCACGATCATACGATAATATATTTTTGTTCGACCGTTTCATTACCCGCGGATCACGCGAAGCAACGATCATTTTTTCAGTTTGTCCATCCGAAAGAAGCTTAACCATCCCCCGAGATGAAAAATCTCAAAAATCTCCTCCCATCCCCCTTCCTCCTTCCTTCCTTCCTTCCCCTTCTTCCTCCCCCTCCCTCCCGTTCCGTCCGATGCATCGTGGGACAGAGAAGGGAATCGCGTTTAAACAGCGTTTGCAATCGCTCGCTTCTTCTTTGCAAACCTTTTCCGTCCCATCATCGCGGCGCGATCAAGATCGAAAAAAAAAAAAAAAAAAAAAAAAAAAAAAAAAAAAAAAAAAAAAAACACGCCCCTGCAACGCCAATATCTAATTCAACTTATTTTCTATGTGGATTAACTTTTTCCAGAAGAGAGCGTACACAACTGTGCGTGATACACACTGTGACTGAGAGATACAGCTCTTAGCGTATCTGAACAGAGACTGTATGAATATCATGATGATGTATTAGAACACGCGCTGCACGCGGCCTTTTGCAGGTGGTTCAGAGACCGAGGGTGGCCTTGGTAAGTAATCGATGGCCGCGACATGAAGGTACATGCGATTGTCTGTTGCAGGATTTTAAAAAGCTTTTTTTCCCCTCCCTCCCCGAGAGATGCGATGGTGATGCGGGAGGCCGTCTTCCATCGACACACTGAGTTGATTAACCCTGGTTGATTTTCAGTTCGTATCGACGCGGTCATTCTGGTCGTTAGTCTCTCTATAAAGAATAGAAAAAAGATAAGAAAAGAAAAGAAAAGAAAAGAAAAGAAAGAAAGAAAGAAAGAAAAAGTAAAACCTTTCCGCCCATGAACAAACGAATCGTTTGTCCACCGAACGCTCTATCAATCGACGTAATCGATATATATATATATATATATATATATATATATATATATATATATATATGTATATATGTATATGTAACGGCGCGTGCTCTCTTCGAGAACTTCCTCCATCCGATTCCGTTCGATTTCGCTCGCTTCATCCATCTCATTCCACGTCTCGATGTTCCACGTCTCGTATCGTACGTATACGATACGGAGAGAGAGAGAGAGAGAGAGAGAGAGAGAGAGAAAAAAAGAATCATTAACGTTATTATTAACGTCGTAATCACGTTGTTATACTGCTACTACTAATACTATTATGCCAGAATGACCCACTCCTCCATGGACACCGGCTACGCAGCACGCAGAAATAATCTTTCTACTAATCTTCACTCGACTCGACCGCGTTTTCCTCGATTCTCCCTAATGTAGTTTTGTACAGGGCTGCCGCACTTCCCGTCACTTTTCGCCTGATGACGGACAAACTTCGAGTCGATCCTAGAGTGACCAGATTCGTTCTACCGATCGGTTGCAATATTAACATGGACGGGACGGCGTTGTTCGTGGCAGTGGCAAGCATATTCATCGCCCAGATGCACGGGATCGCTTTGGGCTTCGGTGAAATCATAACGGTTATGTGAGTAAACAATACTTTTTCTTTCTCTTCTTGTGTTTTATCATTTTGTCAGAGAGGTGTTTAAGATCGAGATGTTTAATTCGTTCCCTTCTTTCTCTTTCGTTCAAGTTTGACCTCCACCGCTGCGTCCGTGTCATCGGCGTCAGTCCCAAGCGCCGCTTTGGTCCTCCTTCTGGTGGTGTTGAGCGCCATCAACGCCCCCGTTTACAACGTCTCCCTTTTGTTCACCATCGATTGGTTCGTGTAAGTAACGTAAGTCCCGTTATCACTTTTCCTAAATAAAATTCGATCGCTCATCCAATGTTTTCTTTTTTTTTTTTTTTTTTCTCTCTCTCTCCTTTTCACGTGGTTCAGGGATCGCATTCGTACCACGAACAACATGTTGGGCGATTGCTACGCCGCCGCTGTGGTCGAGCAGTTGTCGAAAAAGGAATTGATGGCGCTGGATGCGGCAGCCTATCAAGTATGATCGATCGATACGAAAAACGAAGCGGACGGATACGCTTATTTATTTACGCTTGGGGAACGGAAACAGAGGTGTAATATCGTTCATGTGATTTCCGTTTCAGTCGGAAACCGTTTTGCCCACAACGATCGCGAACGGATGCATTTCCGCAAACAGGGTACCCGATCCCGACACCATCGTCGTCGAGATGCAAGACGACACGAGGATAGCCGGCGTCGCCAAGTAAACAAGCTTGTTGGTAGGGCTAGGCTATCACTTTGTAAGATCGCGATTTTCCTTCGTTTCTCTCACTCGTCGCTTTCCTATCGCAAAAAAAGAAAAGAAAAGAAAAAGATTTGCAAAATAATTCGATACACCAGGCATTCACCTCACGGTACGTAGAAACGTTTCTCTTCATTCTCTCTTCAACCATTTCACGTCATCGTCCGTGAGTGAATATAAGAAAAAGGAAAAGAAATTTTTTCGTAGCAAGCGCAATCACAACGATCCTTCTCGTAATTTTTCGACCTCTCGATCTTCGCGTAACGAAGCGAATTGCTTTCGCTGGACTCGACCGTTGTGAATCGCATTGCGTTTAAATCGTGAAGGGATTCGCGCACTTTCGTATCGACGAAAGTTGTTTCGAATTGCACTACGAACACTCCTGTACAACGCGAGAAAGGAATCGTTATCATTATTAAAATTGAAATTAATCGCGTGAGAATAATTCTGTGCATCGGTCGACCAACCACGTTTCGTACAACGTTCGTTCGTCCGTCATGCGATTACCTTCCATCATCTTCCACTGCGTATACATACATACATACATCTATATATATATATACTCATCGAGCTCATCACGCTTTGTTAAAAAGTGCCGCTTCGAATCGAGCACGTTAGCTAGCACGTGGGGCGTCATCATTTCGATCTTGTTGTTTCGTTTCAGCATCAGCGTGTTGCAGATACCGAGGAGCGTGACGGAAGAGACAGTTTGACCTGTGGCTTCGCTACGAAAACATAGTTTAGCTTTAAGTTACACCATCATCTAAAGAGAGAGAGAGAGAGAGAGAGAATGCGACGCGTTCATCGCGGGGATCAAAAAAGAAACAGTTCATCGAGAAGGAAAAAAAAAAAAGAAATGTTTTTCTACTCTATTTCTCTCCGAGTGTTGTAAAGAATTACGGCACTGCTGTCTCAAAAAAAAACGAATATCAAATAAGTAAAGTCAATATCGAGGAGTGCGCTACGCGATTTATCGTCGTTTAGTGCTATGCGAGCGTAGCAATAACTTTTGTAGTGGCTTCTTCGAGCGAGTTGAGAGGAGGAGAAAAAAAAAAAAAGAAAAAGAAAAAGAAAAAGAAACAAAAAAAAAAAAACATGTATGTATATCGCGAGATCATGGATTTTTGTTGTGCACTATGAAAATATCGAACGATCGCGTGAACAGCGTCGGACGTGGTGCCTTATTTTAACGTGGCATGTGCCATCCGAAAGTAGAATTCAATTTCTTTTCCGAGTTTTGTCGAGCGTAGGGCAACGTTTACTCATTGCCTGGTAAGAAAAAAAAAAAAAAAATAAAAAGAAAAAAAAGAAGAAAAAAAAATATATATATATATATATATTTTTCGTGACCGATCGTTGTACTGCCACAAAATCTTTTTTACGATGTGTGAGTCGATGATACGAATTTTACGAAACGTTTAATTATTCGAGAAACCTTCTTCTTCTTCTTCCTCTTCTTTTTCTTCGTTATCGAACAGACAATGAGTGAAAGGTTGCATGGCGCCACGATGACTTTATGACGCATGATCGATGTCCCTTCTATCAATATCCGATCGATCGTTGACGAAATACTTGGAAGAATATGTGAAAAAAAAAAAAAAAAAAAACAAACAAACTGTTTTGCGTAGCGTTAGAAATTCGTGATACGAATCGTCTAGCTATGAGTAACACGATGTAATTAATTATACGATTATACAAAACGTGTGCCGATATGTCAGCGGTTAACGTTCGATAAGAGATAATAACATCGTTCAACACTACCAATACACGTCGTAGTCGACGACATTTTGAAAGATAAAGTAGGTTCCTTTTTTTTTTTTTTTTTTTTTTCTTTTTTTTTTCTTAGCTTCTAACGTACCGAATTTCACTTGTGGACCATGGACAAGTGTAGATCGGTGCACAGAAATCTCTCGGCTGTCGATACGATACGACCAGTTTAAAATTCGAGAAACATTTTTAATCCCGAGATATCTGACGAAGGTACCGCATCTACGATTCTGCCTCTGTGTTTTCGATTGATGATCCTTGGGCCAATTTGTATTTCGAGGTATTACTGTTTGCCGACTTTGTAACACACATCCGAAAAAAAAAGAAAAAAAAAAAAAAAAAAAAAAAAAAAAAAAAAAAAGAAAAGACGATATAGAAGCGCTCGTGAAAGAGCAGTTTTAAGACTGGACATGCCATTTGAATTACTTACGATACATCGTTATAGAAGAATTCTGAAAAAGGGTTCGCTAATTTTAGGCACTAGAAACGTAGGTCGATACGTGTTCTCTCGTAGAGACTGTTTAAATGTACAAATTAACTGGATAAATAGTGCTTCGTAGTGAGCTTTTCGTCGCTTGAAAAACATTCGATTGAATGATTTTTTTTTTTTTTTTTTTTTTTTTTTTTTTTTTTTTTTCCATCGAGAAATAGTTGGAATAATTTTCGCGGCTTTCTCGCTGTTTTTTCCGTTGAACGCGTTCCTCGCTTATTTCCGTTCTCGAGCGATCGAATGGTATTTCCGTTCGATCGTTTCCTTTTTTTTTTTCAAAGTTTGCGATAACACGAATTCTCACGCATCAACGTTGAGTTTATTATTTACGATCGGATAGCGTATAGCTAGAATAGAAAGAGAGAGAGAGAGAGAGAGAAAGAGAGAGAAAGAGAGAAAGAGAGAGAGAGAGAGAGAGAGCGAGCGCTTTGCACTAATAACCCGAAAAGGGAGACAAATAGAGAGAAAGAATTTATCGAAAAAAAAAAAAAAAAAAAAATACTTGAAAGACTACGTGTGAATATACTTGTAAAGCTCAACGTGTTGTATTACAAGGTGCAAGATTTATACGAGATACACCCGTTGTATCGTACGCTTCTTTCTTCCCCATCTATTTCCCCGTTTTCGAGATTTCGTTTTTTTACCTTTTAGCTTTCGAGAATATATATATATATATATAAAATAAACACAAATTTATCAAATTCCTAAAAAAATTCATTTATTTAAGATTCGCCGTGAAGCGAATCGTTGGGGTGGCGGGGCTCACAGAAGAGTCTTTGTACAGAGTTGTCCTTTTTCTTTTTTTTTTTTTTTCCTTTTCTTTCTTTTATACAAAATACGACATATCTATTTTCTAATTATTTCATCGTTATATGTATACACGCACGTGTACCTGGCTGGGAATCACTTTTTTCCGTTACGTCTAACAAGTTCTAAAAATTCCGTCGAAAAAACAAAAAAAAAAAAAAAAAAAAAAAAAAAAAAAAACGAATACGAAAAGTGACGAAACAAAACGGATCGATCGATTCGCTCGCAATTTCGATCCAAAGTTCAACATCGTCGCAACGCTCGAAAAAAATTATATTAACACGTTCGAGCGATCGACCGATTTTCCCGTTTCGTTCTTCGATTAAAAAAAAAAAAAAAAAAAAAAAAAAAATTAGGTCACTGCACAGTCTTACGTTTCAACGGGCACGGTACAAAGGTATGAGCATCGAACAGTGAACAGTCTATCCTTTTGATTATACATATACATATAAAAGGCGCGTCAGTTCTTCTTTTCCCTTTTCTTCTTCTTCTTCTTCTTCTTCTTCTTCTTCTTCTTCTTCTTTCTTTTTTAATCATTCGTCGAATGAGTATTATTTACACGAGCTCACTTAGCGGCTACGAGTACGATTTACGGACTCTTTTTTATTTACAAATAAATCGAGTATTATTTTCACTATCGATCGATCGATCGATCGATCGAAACGGCAAGCTAGCACGACGATAGACTTTCTAGAAAAATATCGCGCCTCTTGTCCTCTCGCGAATCGTAACTTATCGAACAATAGGTACGCTAGGATTCTTTACGCGAACGTAACGGAGAAAAAAAAAAAAAAAAAACGATCGATTATCTACAAACGCTCGATATTTCGATTCTAGACGCGTAAAACAGGTTTCTATCACGAGGAAAATAAAATATATGTATATATATGCACCTTTGCACCTTCGAGAATCCCGGCGAAGGTTAGTCAAACTTAACGATCTCTAATCTCTATTTTACACACGCTTCGCAAATCGGAAATCACGCGGAATCGAGCGTATCACACACGCACACACACACACAACACCCTCGAATGAAATTGGATCGTTTACACATCTAAAAAAAAAAAAAAAAAAAAAAAAAAAAAAAAAAAAAAAGAAATCGCTCGCAACTTTCGAATCGCTATTACATCATGTAAATGTGTACAATCGACGCTTAATAACAATTACGTTGGTAATGACAAACGCGAGGATAATTGGAAACGGAGGTTAAATCCTCAACTCGGCGTCGGTAACCGGGATACCCCTGTTGGCGCTTTGGCCGGACCTTTGGGTGGCGGGTGGCACCAAAGGGCTGATGCTGGGACTTCTGGTGGCTAGGGGGGAGAGGGACGGGGAAAAGCTCGGGCTGAGAGCGGCCGAGGGGAAGGTGGAGGCATCGTGGCTGATGGGGGACCTGGGAAGGATGCCTCTGGCCAGCGCGGGGGCCGCCAACGACCTGGGGGCAACTGAAGTGAGCAACGGCGGGGGCGGCGCTTTATGTACAGACTTGGTCTTGCCGCTGCTCCCCGAGTTGCCGCTCTGAACGCTCGCGGCGTCGTCCTTGAGCCTCGCGATCTCGCTGAACACGTGGGCCAACGGTTGATAATGGGGGCCCCAGTCGAGCAAATAGTCCCAGTTGTACGATCCCGTCAACTCCTCCTCGCTGTGCACGATCGAGCTCAGGGAACCGTTCATGGACGGGCCGCCCGGAACTTCCAGGCCCGACATCGGCCTGCCCGGCTCCCCGATCTTCCCGTAGATCAGGGTGGCGATGTCCGCCTCGGTTGCGGCCTCGTCCTCGAACAGGTGCAAGCTGTCGAGGGGCAGGGCTTCGGGCGGCCTCCTCGGGGTGCCCGCGGGGGGGTCGACGATCCCGAGCCTCGCCAAATATTCCTGAGTGTTGTGCACCGAGAGGTCGCTGGCCGAGTCGCCCGTTTGCTGCCCCTCGTTTATCATTCGGATCTCCTCGTCCTCCCCGTCGTCCTCGGCCGAGCCTCGCCCCGACGAGCCGGATTGATCGCTGCCCGACAACTCGGAGGTGGCCTGTTGCTGGCCCGACTGGCCCGACGTTCCGTACGGCGGTATCTCGTCGTACTTCGGAGGCGCGAATTGGCACGAGGCCCCGCCACCCCCCCCGTTCCCGTTCCCCGACCCCCCGTTCCCCCCAGCCCCCACCCCGCCCACGCTCCGGATCGGTATCGTATCGAAAGCGCTCGGATCCACGTAGCTGTTGGACGCGGTCGCGTTGCTCTCCCCGTTCAAGCCTGGCTTGGCCCCGGCTTTCTTGTGCCTTCGGTTTCGAAGGTGAAGGTAGAGGAAAACGGCGCCGAAGGCGACCACCAACAGAAGCAGAGCGATCAACAGACCCAACGCCCAATCGGCCAACCCTCCCGACGTCGCCACGGCCATGTTGCTCCTGTTCCTCTTGTCCTCGCCGTTTTTCTCGCCCCCGTCGTCGTCGCGGTCGTCGTCGTCGTCGTCGTCGTCGTCCTCGTCCTCGTCGGCCGAAGCCCCTGCTGCGTCGTTCGGCGTGGCCAAAGGCGGGGCGCCTCCTCTCGCCCCTTCGCTCGCCTCGCTCCCGTCCGTCAACGCGATCTCGACCACGGTCATGTTCGACAACGAGCCCTGCCTACCTGAACTCGCGCTCACCACCAACCTCGACGACTCCTCCACGTCGGTGTCGAGGTGCAGCAACTTTTGCTTCACGATCAACGCGCCCGTAGTGCGATTCAACTTGAAGTACGGGTGCTGGGAGGTGAGTTGGTAAACGACCCTGCCGTCCGGCCCCTTGTCCCGATCCGTGGCCGTCACGTGGCCGATCACCGTCCCCGCCGCTATCCTCGCCCCGCTCCTCATCCCGAACCTGTACATCCTCTCCGTGAACTGGGGATAAAACTCGTCCCTCGACTCGATCTCCACCCTCACCCTGACGGCCGCCGTCCGGCCGCCCGTGTCGGTCGCGCGCAGAGTGAACGCGTACCTGTTCCGCAGCTCGTAGTCGAAGACGGCGCGGGTCGTAACCGTGCCGGACTTGGCGTCCACGGCGAACAATCTCCAACTGTCGTCGATGTCGGAGAAACCGGTGGCCGCGGCCGACACGATGGAATAGTTGAGCGCGCCGAATATGCCGCGGTCGAGGTCCGAGGCGCGGGCCGAGAACACGGTGGTCCCGATCGGCTCGTTCTCCCCGACGAACTCGAGGTACTCGGGCACGGGGAACTTGGGCGAGTTGTCGTTCACGTCCTCGAGACGGACGCGGAGCCTGGTCAAGGCGCAGAGGGGGGTGGTCGGGTCCGTGTCGCACGCCATCACCACCAGGTTGTGGACGTCCGGCTCGAGATCGCAGTCCAGCGTCGCGTTCACGAGCACCGCGCCCGTCCCCCTGTCCACGCGGAACAGGCCCCCGTCGTTCCCGGACGTGATCTCGTACACCAGGCTCGCGGCCGGGGTCCCCGCGAGATCGTCGTCCTTGGCGCGCAACACGGCCACCGTCGCCCCCCGTGCCGCGTTCTCCTTGATCGACACCTGGTGCACGTCCTCCGGGAAACGGGGGTAATTGTCGTTCGCGTCTTCCACGGTGACGATCACCGTGACGGGCTCGTCCCCCACCAGGGATCCGGTCGTCGCGTTCTCGTTCCTCGACCCTAATCGCAAAACGTATCTGCAAGAAGAGAGGGGGGAAAAAGCGAGTGAGAGAGAGAGAGAGATCGGTGAGATAATTTCGATCCCTTACCTGTCTCTCGTCTCCCTGTCCAACGGCTTGGACAGGATCAACCTTCCTCTCGACACCTCGAACGTTCCACCGTCGTCCCCGGCCACGATCGCACCGTCCAAAAGGTCCACGTCGGACAACCTCATCAGCGTGGTCCCCCTCCAAGTGTTCTCCTTGGCGGTGATCTTGTACTCTTTGCCGGGCGAGTTGCTGCTCTTCAAACTGGTCAATCGAACGACGACCGTGCACACGGACGACGCGGGCGGTTTCCCGTAATCCTCGGCCACGATCGCCAACTCCACCTCTTTGGGCAACGGCCTCGGTATCGCGGTGCGATTAACCGTCACAACACCGGTCACGGGATGAACCGAGAAACCTTTGGTGGCTCTCAGCAGATGGTATCGCACCCGACTGTTGTCCTCCGTGAGATCGTCGTCGGTCGCGTTCACCGTCGCGATCTCTTGCAACTCTCCTCCTCGTCCCTCTGCTCGAAAGAAGCGGGAAAAAATAAAAAAAACGTAGATAGGGAGAGAGAACGAAGAAAGAGGCGAGAAAACGGTGAAAAAAGGTGGAATGGTGGATATTGCTTGGAGGGGGGAAATCGATCGGCGTTCGTACCGAAACGAAACGAAACGAAACGAAACGAAACGAAACGAAAGAGAGAGAGAGAGAGAGAGAGGATTATCGTGGAAGGAGACAAAGATGGAGGGATCACGGGCACGGGGTCGAGGTACCCCTCCATCTCTTTTTGTCGGAGGTAGCGTCACGTCCTCGAGCAGAACCACCACCGACCACGATTCTTTCTTTTCTCGGTAAAGGAGAGGAGGATAAGCCGTCCTGACATCGGCCTGAACGGAAGTATGAAATAATAACCAGTTATATAAATCGCTGGTCCGAGCCGTGGGGCCAGCAGGATGGAGAGCCAGGTTCGCGGCTACAAAAATCATTTCGATGCGTTTCAAATCGTCGGATAACTCGGCATTAATGTGCCAAGTTCCGAGCTAAAGCGAAAAAAAGAAGAGGAAAAGAAGGGGATGGGAGGGGAGGGGGGGGGCTGCAATAAAACTCG